CTCCAAATATACCATTGATTTAGCAAATACCGCGGATATTTTACATCTGTTCCATGTACTACCGATACCGTGGACAAACGCATGTTTATGATGGTATCAGTAAATCTAGTAGATCCTAAAAGCGTTTACAACCCATACGTTCTAGCTAGATCCTTCCAGTATCCTTAGTCTTTCTGATAACGTCTTCCGTAATTAATAGTCATATGCTAAGTTATGATAAAACAGATGGTTATATGTCTTGAGCCACTTCAATACCTGCAAGTTCCTTCTAAAAAAATAGAATCCAAATAAGGAGTTGCTGATTCACTACGTAAGCCACGCGATCGAATGGGGAGAGAATTTTTCCTTTAAATTTCTAGGCTATGAGAATTTGGCTATCAGCGTGTTAATTGAATCGGTGCACCGTAGGCAATATCCACAACTTGACTTTTAACCTATTGTAACTTATAACCTAGAGAACACATGGTCATAAGTTCGGAGTTTGAGTGAATTTGTAACCCCGTCTTAATTTATTTGTTGTACTACATTTAGATTCATGTTGCCATTCGCTTGCAGTACACATTTTGCCAGAACCTTCTTCTAATCCCCGAATTCGTCTTTTGCTCTTTAAGCTGCTTTTGATCGCACGCCAATTATCAAGTATTTATCGCGTATTTTTTGGAAGCCGCTGCAAGATCCTGCTTTAAAACAGCGGTTTCCGTCACTACCTTGAACTATTCATAAACCATCTGGACGGCTTTTTCATTTACCAGCCAGAAATAGGTACGCGACGAGGCAAATATATTTAGAAACCTTAATGTCTTCTGGCCTTGCTGGCTGATGATTTCACGTCATACTATAATACGAACGGCGGTAAAAACTTACGAAAAACAACTTAATGAGAAATGCAACAAAAACATCAACAGAAAGCCGTGACAAAAGAGTTGTTCTGTCGTTAAATGGCAGCTGATTTTTGTTCAAAGTAACAATTAAATATTTTTATTATAGCCAATGCATTAACACGCTCTGCAACCTTTTCCGTTCGGTTTTTAGTGGATACAGCAACCGTTCGTCAGGCAACGATCGCGCCAATTAGCTAACAGCGTTTTTTCACTTGTTTATTTTTTTTTGAAAAAAATATAGACGATATACATTTCCTATTAGTACCAAACTGATTTTCTGCCACAGGTCGTACGCTACTGTTATGCTAGTGCAGGTGACTTGTGCAGCGTATAGAGACCTATGTACGTAAGACGCGCACACGTCTATGAGACTCTAGTTTCCTATATCCCATATCGTCCACCTCGCAGATACTTCCAAAACAGTTCTTAAATTCACCTTGTGCCTCTCACCAGCTTTATCTGCCTAATGACGAACGTTAAGAAATGATAGCGTCTCATCTATTCAAACAAGACAGAACACATACTAATCGCTGATTTAGAGGCCTAAACAACCGGAATACGGTACTACAACCAGGTCACTTGCCTACGCATAATATCACAAACTATGTGTACTTGCTATTGACAAAGTACTCACTCGAACGGTGTAAACACAATATTATTCTAGAAATAAATCCATTTTTCATTCAGCTTTTCTGTCACTTTTCGGCCTGTCCGTCCGACCTGGCCGTTCATTGCCATCCGGTTGAGCAGCGGTAATAGCGCTCCAATCCTTATGTCATTATGATATATGGAGTGAATATGGTGGTACTAGGCGTCGAGCGAGCCATTCAAAGATCATACTGCCATTGTAAATGGCTTCTGTTTGGGCGTTAGTATCCCAACGATTGACGCGGCTTAGCGGCGAGTTAAGCAGCATCATTTACCTAGTAGTGGGTTAACTAACTAACAAGCAAACCCAAGACAACATGTTTGTTCATTGCTGCCGCTCACACTGCTCCGCGTAAGCACCAACGAAATAAATGTGCCGTGCATGTGGTTATCACTGCCTGAATCGCCAAAGCAAGCGCGATGGCAGCGGCAGAAGTCGCAGATATATATTGGGGACGCATGGCCGCACACGAGACGCGCACAAAAACCGACCAGTGACCGCCGACGATGGCCATTTCCACTGCGACGACTATTGCTGCTGCTAACGCATTTGGGCAGCGTCAGCGCTTGGGAAGCGCCGTTTCCGTGACAACTAACCGACCCCAAAACGTTGGGGTGGGAGGACCTTTTTTACATGGGATCATCAATAAAAAGAAGGAAGTACCAAAGCATGTTTAAATAAGGATATTATCTATTAGTATTTCATTCCGACGTATAAACACTTGAAATACCCAGTCAAATTCTTAGCAGAAAGTCATACACCTTATGTATTTACGGGTCTTCCATAAAACCGATAAGCCGATCAGACAATCCGTGCGAATAATTATAGCTGAATAACACATTTCTCCCTCTGTCGACATAAAAAAATCATCGGTCCCACCAGAGGTCGTGAATGTTATTCACCAATTTGGCAACATTGCTTGAACAATGTGTCTTAAATTGTGTGATGAATTGAAATCAAATTGTGATTGAAAAGAGCACATTCTATTAAGAGTATGAAAATAGAACAGCGTAAATGCGTGACTGTGTTAAATCAGATCAGCGCTCAGAAAACACGGCTTCATTAAACTAGTTTGCAAGTGAGCGGGTGACAGATAGATAATTGTATGTTCGTGACCGAACAAGTCTTCTTCATGAGCTACTGCGTATGCGTACAAAAGATATATCGAAAAAATAGTGACCCATTGCTGATTTAGCCCGAGCAAGTTAAACGTTTTGCGATTATTTACTCTGCTCAATATAGCGACCCCAAGCAACGCGCTACCGAGTTAACCACGAGCTAAACGATGAAATGCTCCCATCGGACGCTTTACTTAGGCCCGCCAACAGGCTGTTGCCCATACAGAAATCAAACATGCAGAAAACCCAGTCTGAGAACAGGGATCGCCTTAGGACCAATGTTTACATACTAAAAATGAGTTTAAGGCCTTTAAAGAGCCGTTTCTAGCTGATGTTTCAAACTGTTGGATGGTAGCAGTGCAATCAATACTGCTTTTAATTTAGTGTTGGAAAATATATTGTAGTAGAGTTAAACGCATTACCAGCTGTATCAGGTTTAAAAAAAATCCGAATTTAATATACGGTACTGCCGTTCGGTATACTTTAAACAAAGCTTCTAGAGGCATTACTTCGATAATTATTAACAGGTCCTCTTGCTAAAAAATATGTTTAAAAACAAGACGAAAAATGAGTCTGGACACGACTAGATTCCACGTGAATCAAAATATTCCAGCTAAATTTGTACAAAAACTGTTTGCTAAAAGCGACGCAATCTAAAGCGTCATAAGTAACATTGACAACAGTTCGCCGATTCATATTAGTAAATCGACGGTATTTTTCACGCTTTGCCGTTCGTATTTCATCGTGAAGTACAATAATCGCCCTGACACAGTCCTTGCTACGAACTAGCTTACCATTTATGTCAAAACTGTCGCCTTGTGAGCTAACAAAGGTATAATGGATGGCCAAGTATAGGCAAGCTAAAACTCAACGGATGAGAAGCGCTTTTTAGTTGTCTTGGGACTCTAGTTCCATAATGTCTCTCATCCCTGCATTATCGGTTTTTCAACCGAGTGGATTCACGAAAATCTCTCTTTCCGCACTTATCAGAGCCAAAGATTTACCGCTATGTGTATAGCATTCGACAAATAATATATTTCGTGGCTCAATGCCACTAGATTCTACACATTTGATGATTTCTCAGCTGGTGATGATCACCTTTTCATGAATTTATTATGCTACCAATTAATAATTACCGCATAATTACCGCAATGCTCAGGAATGTTGCCAACCTATACGATATGTAAATAGCACCCCCCCCCCCCCCCCTTAAAATTTGTTCTATGATCTTGACACATTTTCGAATCACAGGTGAACTGCGCGCATGACCTCCCGTAAAAAAGACTCACTATAAAGCCACCCCCTGCCATCTATGAAAACGTACGACACCGACTAATTTAAGCTAAAAATCAACAAATTATATGTAATCAGTTTATAATACTGTATTGTCAAGTTGAGAGCTGTCATATTCGCCTATGATAAACTCGTTTCCTAGACAAAAGCAACAGGACTTTTTTTTCACCATGTTACCAACACGCCAGTGTTATTACGATATACGATAAATGAGCTGTCTAAGTGAATCTTGATTTTCCATGTGGTCAAATCCTTAGGACAGGGCGAAAAAGCTCAACTTCAGCCTATCGTGAAAAGTACCAAAACGAATTTCAGCATACGCTGACGGACTGTGGAATTATATGGGTTTTTTTTACAGTGGGCTACACTACCCAGGATTGTTCATCGATAAGGTGCAGCGATCAAAAGAACCGTCGTGGCATTCGTTTAATTACAGAAGTATATTTAGGAACTAAACAAAATATTTATATAGCCTAAAATTCACCGCGGTATTTTGGCGCAATAGCGATGCGTTAGACGCTCAAGCCATTTTCATATATGTACACATAATGTACTTCAATAAAAAATTTTCGGGACGTATAAAATTCTTCAATAATCTGTCCCATTCACGGGAATAAATAGACGATCCGATTTTGAGTGTAGCTAAATTGAAAATTAGATTACATTCTTCAGTATATAGTATTGCTTAGAATGTTTATCTAGCAGTTCCTATTTTGCTCGTCGTCCAGATAGGTATGACGAACTAAGAGTTTTGGAGAATTGGTACGTTCAGAAACGAGCCCATCTTCACCAAGTTGGTACCATAGGTAAAAAACACCTTCGCTCCTATAGATGTCGAATAAATCTGTTACTTTTACATAATTTTTGCTATTGCCTTATACGAACGTGTAAACTTTCAAATCCATAAGGTAAGATGCTGAACAAAATGTTACAATGCACATTTAAATTTCCCTAACACCCTTATTACTATTATCAGCACCAAATATTATGCGCATTAGAAAAAAAAGCACATGGCAAAAAAATTAACTTTGGGCACTAGAATCAAAGGAGAAAACTTACTTTTGTGTTTCCATTTGCCGAGAATTCCCGACATGTTTTTCCACCCGGAACTCATCCTAAAAACACAGTTTAATGGTATTTCTTTTAGATACATATCATTAAAATTACTCGATAATCCAGTTTTAATCTAAGCGAAAAAAAACCACATGATATAATGGCTTACGCCTCACTCCCGAAAAAAAAAAAGAAAATGGGATACTCATAATGGCAACGGCAGGACGATCAAGTGGAGACGGGTTATTTTTTAAGTACTTCTGTTGTAGTACTTAGATAAACGGGACACTGCGAAAAAGTTTGTGTAGGTCAAATATCGTGTTTTTTTATAGTAGTGGATCATCTTGCACTTAAATAGTCTCACTCGAATTTGTACGAGAATGATACCACGCCGATCGATACACGCTACCACAAATTTAAGACATCCTACCTAGTCGATCTATTTACATGTATTTTTCATATCACATATCTCATAAATCAACTACAAGTGAAAATAATTCCCTAAGAAAAAATATTATTTATAAGCTGGAAAATTAGGGGCAATCATTATTAAAAAATTATTATTAAAGACAGGATAGCACTGGGCTTGTTACATCCATTGTCAGCTTTGATTCGTCTTGTGTCGTACACGCAAGCAGCTCTCTGTATGACACATTTTTACCAGAAAAAGTAAAGGTGTCGATAATAGTCCATATGCATTCTCCCAAATAATTATTACGCTGGTGACGACGGTTTCAGATTTTTTTGTTCGGGTACGTCTGCTATGAGGAAATCGACCGCTAAAGCGGACCGCTCCCTGAGAACCAGATGATGCATAAATACAGTAGTGAGACAAAATCAAGTCAACAATACCAACAGATCAGTAGGTCTAGCAGCAGATGAGGACATATTTTTTTGGAAACGGATTTTGTCCGAAGAGGATCAGTTCCATCTCTCGCGGTCTTGAACGTCTTCTCTGCCACAGCATTTGTGTGCTTTCTTGTTTGCCATTTTAACTTAGCTATATAAACACTTATGCGCAAACTGTTATGACGGTGCGATACAGCATTGTTGGTCGTTTGCGAAGCTAATTATAGCACGTCTGATATAAATTGTGAAGGTTCAAATATAAGGCAATTTAGCTATTGCCCAATTAAGGCAAGTTAGCTATAATGCAATGCCTTTTCGAGCTCCATATTTTGATGTTCTTATAAGATTTATTTTCATTAACTATATACCGGACAAATAGTAGATAAACAAAAATGTCTCTTAACTTATGACTGACAATGAGAGTCATGTTGGCAATGTAGTAGTTACGTGCCTGAACGCTAAGCATAAAGACATACGAAACATCTTGAAACCGGCAAGTTTGCGCCGCGCTGAAGTTCACTAAAGCTGTCTGATGCAATCCTAACGCAGTGTTGGGTGGCAAACTTGAAATTTCAGGTTATTGTTATAAAGGAGGATACTAAGAAAAATTATGAATATCATTCGTATGTTAATACTACCACACTACACGTCGTGCAAAGCTTATTGACTCACAATGGCAATCGACAGCTAATCTTTTTAAATATACCGAACTCTATTTCTGTAGATTTCACTGAACTTGCCACTGTCACAGCTTCTCTTCTGCCCATAATTGAATATCGACACAAATACAACACGCGCCCTCCGCGAATGGTCATTCGGCATTAGCTACGGTGCATGTATATACAGGCTGAGCGGGATCAAATAGAGAAAAATGACGTTGCTTGTTTATGAGTTACATTTCCGTAGAATTATTTACAAGCGTTGACATAAGCAAGAAGCCTCTCTCAACATCGGAGTCATATATATGTATAAATATATTATAAAGTTTTAATGTAACTGCCATTTATTTCGATACTGGCCCTGATTCAGGACTTGATCCCTCCGCACGTCATTATCAAAATGACTTTCCTCAAATTTGCCAAAACTCTTACGTAAAACGAGTGGTCCTTCTATTTGAGATGTTCTCCTTAAGCACGAAGCAAAGCTTGTCAGTGTTCACTTAGCGCACCTCCCATATCCCCATAACTTTTGTATGCTAACACCTTGCAATTACACCATAGTGGTAAGATGTAACTTACCTGAATTTATTCAACACGGCTGACACTGGCACAATGTTTTCTAATATTTATGTGTCAGTTTTAGCTCACTACAGTTAATCCAATGGCTAGCACTTGATCACCCGTTTTCACACACACGCATACACTCATAAAAAGTATCGATGAAGTCACCTAAATCCGTAATCTACTCGGAAAAGTTGGGTTTATCGAACAATTGTTCTGAACATCAACAGTTGGAGCGCCAAATTCGATCGCATTGAAGTTCGCTGTGAGGTGCAATATTACCGATGGCAGTTGCGCGACCACTGCACAGTATGTTGATCTTCACTTTTCACAGCCAGTCTCTTATACATCAGCTCCCGGTGCCCGCAATATGCACTACCGTCTGGTTATTATTGACTACGCGCGAGAACACCAACTAAGCCACCCTCACCGTTCGGCTCGTTGACCCTCGCCCCTCAAAGCAACGATGTCGCCTGTAGAAAATTTTTCGCGCTAGCCCACTCGCGTAACGGCGCTTGCTGCCGCTACTATAAACACGGATAAATTTTAGAGGTGGGCACCATAGAGTTACTTCATTCGAGAGCAGTTGAGGACGCTGATGCTGGCGATGATATCGTTTCCAAGCCAATGGTAATGTTGATGGGTACCTCGTGCCGTGGTATGCTACAGTAATTGATTACGACGTTGCTGAGGTGTGACGTTCTCAGTCAATGTTTAGAAATAGACAAGTGCGAACAGCACACTGAGAACTACCAATATCATATACAAGACGGGCCAGCACCACGCGGGCCTCTTACGGTCGTATAACTAGCAAGATGCTAAAAGTACCTATCCTATCGATGTGATTTAGTGGGCACAAGTTGTCTGTGTGGGTGTCACTTTTGATGGTGGTCCAAGTCGTTCACCACTTCCTGACGCCGTAGTTCGACGATCAATAAATGCACGAATGGTTTAACGGCTATAGTCAATTTTGGTGGTGACGTTAATATCCAATCATGTAATAATAACACAGGACACGACTCACAGTTCAGCAGACAACATCGCTAAGTGGATAGTAACAACGATGTCGGTATCCCGTCGTTTAACGAGTCAGAGGGCCACTTGGCAGTTTAGTACACCTCTGTAGGCAGTAAAGAATCGGTTCATCACGGTAGTCAACAACTATAGTCCCTCTAAGGTGTTACGGGTATTGTCCTTTTTCCAACTTTGTACCACCGTCTATCCGTCCTTCAAGCACTTCATTCGGCAGCTGTTTACAATTTACCAATACCGGAATGCGCTGTTTTGCACTGCCAGAAACGATATATATATATATATATATATATATATATATATATACGAACGTTAACTCAAATCCTTAGCACGCATGCCGATCCTGCATACACACAGCGCTGGATCAGATCAACGGGCCCAGAAAAATCCACACATGAACAATCTCTGTTTAGCCGCACATCCACTGCATCAGCTACGCTGAGCTATTACCAACCGCCCTTGTGATGTTCGCACGATCTCTCCTTACCACCCCGACCCCACGAGAATCACGACAAATACACACATTCTAGAAGTGTCCCTTGGTACTTTGGGCTGTAGTAGTTCCAAGTTGATAGTCTGATGGGGGAAATCGATCCAAAGCTTTTCCGGCCACCTGCTGCTATACAGTGATAAGTTATCTGCTTCAAGCTAGCCTCTTCCGAGCACCGTTAACCACTACCGGTAACCACACCTCACTACCATTAACAGTATGATCCGGTGATGCTCAGCGTGCTAGCTATCGATGTACTGCATAATAAGCGACTTTAGCTAATAATTTTTTGTATCGTCGTCGTCGTCGCAGCTAGCTTCAGCTCTCAGCAGCGCAGCCGTTCTTCTTATCACCGTCGTTTTAAAGATATCGAGCGTTTCGAGACGTTCTTGCACCAGCTTCAAGCACCAACTCGTATCTGTCTGAGCAACAACTTCGACCACTGTCACTTTGCGGGTCGGGCGTTTTGCTGCTTCTAGCGCTGCTGTTCGAATGAACGGACACAGCGGCGGCCGCAGCAACGGCAACAGAGCGCGTCTTTTCTCTCTCACGTTGCGATGGCTTTCATCAGGCACGAGCCATGTCTGTTGTAACAGCAGCTCTTTGTCGGCTGTTTACCGTTTGCCAGCCGCAGGCGTCCGTGAGCCAGAAAAGTACACCGGGACAGCTCGAAAAGGATTCCCTGGTTTCAAACAGCACATTTACCTTCATTATGACGGCTGAATATTATAGTGTGTACATTTCTTAGAGCGTATGTGTCTTTAGTTGCGAGGCGACGTACCTGAGAATGGCAGTTGTGTTCTGCCCGCAGCTGCATTTCTTTTGCGAATACTCTTGCAGCCACGTCGAATACGACCGATTGGTATTTCTTTGCTAGAAAGTTAACAATATTTAGCTGTCTTGTTCGTATATTCCGTCCTGTTTTGCTTGCTGAGTTTATTTAACCTGTGGTTTTATTTCTGTTGACAGCCTGACAGACTGGGGATTTCTCGATTGTTCTCGGCAAGCATGTACCCAAGAACGACTACTTATGGGCTAGGGGAAAATTGAGGACGGCTAGGACGCTGCGCAGCAGAACGCAAGCATAAACGGACCTAGCAAAACCGTTTAATAAGCATTTGTATAACCCCCTTGGGAGAAGTGACAACTAAAGAAGCGTGATGATTCGTAAACTGAAGGGCAGTCAATGACGATCTTGTCATAAGTTGCTAACGAACAAGTGGAACACTGTCCAAGATGTAAACAAGCTTAATAATCGGTAGACGCCGACCAAAGATCAGGCAGTGAGCAATTTTCTATGAAAGCACATTAGTTAGAAAGCAGAACGTTGGCCTGTTCAAATAGTCCGAACGATAGTGGAATAGTATTCTAGCCTAAAACGGACTTTTTTCCAAACCCCTGCTACCTCCACTTCTAGTCTACGTAATGAACGGTTGCGTAATAGCTTGGTTTATGTCGCAGGTGACTATCTCGCAAGGTAAAAGACATGTACATATGTAAACTAACTAAGAACTAACGAGCGGAAACTAACGTATCACAAACGTATAATTACGAAAAAACCTGCTTTATTAAAAATTCGCCGTAAGCAGTTAGTAAGGATGCGATTGCATAATAACTAAGGACAGCAATCACAATAACAGTACAATTCCTATTAAGCATCACCAAACAGAATACAATTACAAGGAATATTAGATAGCGATGAGTTAGTTTTTTTTACGTGTCTTCTATTTACATTGCTTCGCATTTGCAAAATTGCATGTAACCTTCAATATTTGGCCTTTAATGGCTTTAGTTATGAAAAAATTGCAGAGGTACTGATATCTGACGCGACGAGCATGATATATTATACTTTGCAAACAGCGCTCAAGTTAGTCACATCAACATGTACGAATTTTCATTGATATCGGATATTTTTACTAAGAACACTCGCTTCCTTAAGTCATCGTAGGTAAAAGTTTTCGCTAAGTTATTTTGACGTCCAAGGATTCTTCATTTTAACATGCTAGACCGAGAACGCAGTTGCAGATGTATGCTTGCAGTTTTTTTCTGATACCGCCATCATGACTATATTCGCGATTTATAGGGTTCTTCTCTTTAGGATCAAAATGACGCCAGGCTTCACCGAACTTAGGTAAGCTAGTTGTTGAAAGCTTTGTGTTTATTATGCCATCGTTCAATGCCGGCATCTTAGTTTCCATCGAATCAGTGAATGTCGTTCTCGAACGCTCTGTGTAAGCTATGGAGCTTTCCGTAACAGGAACTAGACCTGTTTTGGTCCTAGAATGTTGTCTTAAGTTACTTCTGTCACTGTAGCGTATCCCGACAGTTTTATTATTTAAATTCGTTTCGGTGCCTTTACCGTTTCTTTCCGTGGCTGTGCTCGTTTCGAAATGTGTTGTCGTTGTTGTTTCAGTCACCGGAAGTGGTGGTATATCTCCAGGACGTAAAGACACTGTTGAGTTGTTCAATGAATATATGCGGAGCAGTCGACTAACCCAATAGAATTCATCCTCGACTGTAACTATTTCATGGACGTCCTTCACTGGTGAAGTCCCGTAAATATTTTCCAAAAATTTGCTTTCTTTTTTGTTCAAAATATACGTGCTACGAAAACGCCAGAAAAGGATCCGTCTGAAACGTATGATTATATATGCTGATTGTTAGATATAACTTACAAAATGTCGTTCCCATCATAGTGCAGTGCAGGCGTGTTTGCTTTACAAAGTTAGGTATTGCGTTCAAATTTACGCCAAATTTACGTTTCAAGTTCAAAAGAAAGTAGCCATCCGATGTCATGTCTAACAGCATTGAACAATACTGAATCTAATGTTCGAAACATGCTTTAATCATGCACGTACTCGCAGTCCATTGAATCTGCTTTAATCGTTAAGCAAACCAGATAGCGATAGCCAGCCTTTTCCGCAAGGTTGAGTGACGCCCAGCTGACGCCATCGATATCAACAGGATGCGTAACGTTCTTGCGATCCTCGCTACCAACGAAATAAAGTAACTGCGCAGTCGCAAAGAAGTCAGGCTGAAATCCTCTTTGGTGAAACGCTCGCGAGTCCCACCGACACGGATCGTTAGCTTTAAACACAGTCTGGTGATTAGTAAAGAACCAATACTCTACGTCTCCGGGTATCGTCAAGCGAGTCGATAAACGAGGCCTGTTCCACCTCGATATATTGTAGATTTCCTACGTGTTGGTTAGAAATCGCATGCAACGACAGTTAGGACATTAGAAGTAATAGCAAGCGGAGCTAAAGCAGCATGTCGAACAGGTGTGTCGCCCTTTTAAAGTTGCACCTCCGGTTTTCAACATGCGCATTTGTCAAGTTTAGAAAAATTATCAATTAATTATTAATTGTGATTTATTAAGATCCTGTGATATGCAACGAGAATTTAAATTCTTCTTTATTTCCCTACGACATCTACATTCTACACTATAGTGTACATACCGTACGAATATTTGCAGCATAATACACCACGTAGTCCGCGACTCCCATATATTTATTTATTGTCAAATGATTCCACTTTATTTAAATATGCTTAAAAACTTAACTGCAGAGCGACAGTGGAAACAAATACAATAGATCAGTTGACGTTACCTTCAAAACATTTCTGCCAAACGACGTTGATGTCAAATAAAGCCCGCCCAAAGTAAGTACGAGTGGTAGACACGTCTTGTTCTCAATTTTTATATCTTTGCCCGCTTTCATGTAGATTTTCACGTAATCGTCTATATAATCGGGCTCTATGCTTTTGACTCTCTTTATAAACGATTCAAGATCTTCTATATTGCTGTAAAAATGGTCCGTTGCAACGTCGTTCTCAATCTTAAACCATGCCTCACTGATCTGATCGAGAACTTCTGGAGGCTGATCACAGTACTCTGCAAAAATGCAATCCCTCAATACCTGCTTGTTTAATTCAATCAATGCAAAGGAAGTTTCGAGAATAGCGAGGTGACAAAATAAGCGTGTGCTTCAGACGAAATATATTTATAAATAAAACAGGATTGGAGTCTGAAGTCGCTGGCTTACTTTTCGCTAACCTCGTTCTCCGCTCAGTACCTACGAAAATCTTTGAACGGAAATCTTTTCTCGAACGAAAACGGAATATATTTAGATTAGAATGTCAGATAAGAACATTTGTCTTGTCCTTTTGGAATATTATGTGTAATAGTCAAGAGTCAAAGTACGCCTGCCAAAGAATTACATTCTAAAAAGAAACTGTAAAGTAGAGCTTCCATATATTTTATTTTGTCTTAAATTTATTCCTACTTTGATCTGCATTTAAAATAGGTAGTGAAGTTCAATTCGACCCTAATTTCGGTTATTTATTCAACTTCTTGTCGCCTAATTTTGCTAGGTTTGTCGTTCCTCGTCATTGTTATTGCACATCACCGTACTTCAGTCTGACGTTCAATCATAATAGCCCTTCTTTGGATTTGGATACACCTGGACTGAATCGCATGCCAATTTTATGTTGATATGACGCTTCAACATAGAATTACTTCGGGTTACGCAGCCGGGATTTAATGTAAGAACATTATATTATCCAAATAATTAACGAATTTAACTATTCGTATGCGCAACGCTGGATTTGCCTTGTTTACTTTTTGTTTTTTAAGACCAATATTTAGAATATTTTTGGTCCATTTTAGTACAATACCCATGATGACCTTGCCGTTACGTTCTTGTACATCACTAGAAAAAGGATTTGCATGAGTCCAATTCCTACTTGAAAATTATATAAGGCTTTCCCACACGTGTTCTGCGAGAAATTTATTAGAATTGGAGATGTTCTTTGAGAGACATCTGATGCTCTGTTTTTTTCTCTAACACGTAAAAAATGACTGCTCTGGACGGAAGGAAATCCTTTATCAACCCACACGGGAAATATCATCTGTATGGAATAAATAAACGATAGTAATTATCGGCATGCGCAAAAAAAGCCTAATTTGTTATCATGAAAATGTGTGGTTGATTATCTACTATGACTGACGGGATTTACTAACGCGGGAAGCTTTTAGGAGCGCAATGCTGTGACACAGTTATTCCCTTGCGACTTTTCTTGTTGTAGGTGGATCTTGTTTTTACTTTAGCCTGCTTCGCCTGTAGAGTGCACGAACAGCCATCACCTTCCCATTTGGAACACCAATTTCCGCAATTAATAACACTTGCATTGTGAGGAACGTCATAATCGATCAGTCCTACAAGGCACGAATAGATTCGACGTTTTCGGTAGCAGTACTCTGTCAGATTTGTCTTTCCTGTAGATCTATCGTGCCTTGTTATTGCTTGGGCCAAATATTCCGACTCCGACGTATCGCAGCGTAGGGGTCTGATAGGGTCTGAAATCGATAGGCGGTTAATAGTACATCTATACGCGGGGTTATTCTAGTGGATTGCTCACAAATCTCTAGTGTACTGATATTTATAGTTGATTTAAACGGTAAGGTTGTCTTTATTTTTTATAACCTTAACATTTTCGACACTGAGTAGGCACTGAGTAGACACTGAGGCTTTCTTCATTAATTATTATGTTACCACTGTGTCCAAAATCACAATATTTTTCTTCTAAATTAATCAATATTTATTCGAAACATAATAGTGTTATCTAAGTGTCACTTATTGAGCATCAACTACGGGTTCGCCTCGTAAAATCCACCGCACAAATCATTACGCGGTAAACTTTATCCCAACTTTCCGTGAAAGCATAATAAAGGAAAATAGCAGCGTGTATTTCAGCACGTTTCAGCACAGGAGAATACAAAAAAAATATCGCTGCTGTACCTTACACGCTTCAAAAAGTATTTCAATCGCTTAAAAAGCTTCGGACAGTCTAATATTTAGTTAATGAGAAAATAAAAACCTTGCAAAGGTGCATCATGGCGTGATTATTTGACATAGAGCTTAGCATATATAATTCATACGAGACGGTTTCGATACATATGATTAGCACTAATTAGTACAGCTGCTATTTATATAAAACGTTTCGAAGCTATACACGGTAAGTGACATCTATTACAGGAAACGAAGGAATATATTTGTTCGACCCACCAGGATTGCAAATATGCCCAAACGGATAGGTGTTCGAATTGGCACAGAACGGGATGACACCACTAGAAGCGCAAATTTCGCTTAAAACCTCCGTGCATGACACGTCGACGGCGCGGTCCTCTAAAAAAATAAGAAAAAAAAATGCTGTGTGTTTCATGCTTTGGCTAACCGAACTTGTGTCAACTGCGTTTTAGGGTAAACGGAATTACTTTGTGAAACGGATAACGTTTGGCAGAATGGCTAGTAATTCATTAGGTCTTCTAAGCATCCGCTGCATATAGGGACGTTACTCTACGAAGTTCGAGTTCACAAATTTAAGATATGAAATATGTACGCTCTAGAGTGTCGCACGGTGCGATATTTGCAAGCAGAAGCTTCATTTAAGGCGGACTGAGTATTCAAAAACGTACCTCTTGATAGCGCTTCAATGTACTCTCGAGCGAATACGCATCGGACTGGTTCAACGCAAATCCTGTTAAAGCACTTTTCTTGTGCCACATCCCTGCAGCTCGGTGGCTCACACGGGCCTATTTTCAACTTATTTGTGCAAAGGCATTCTGTACCGTCATCTCTGTTGATGCAGCTTGTGGCACCAAAGTTGCGACATCGCTGGAGCTCAGAAGTGGAGCATTTGAATTTACCTTAAATGAATCGATGTCAAAAACTTTTTATTTCTAGCCTATGTGTTAATATACTATAAATATACTATATATAATATGTATACTATAAATAAAAAAAATAAAATAAAAAGTGGCCACCCCAAACTTCGATAGAATCCTATGCTATATCCACGTTTGGTCGCTTATCGGGCACTCCTTACCGTTGTATCTTTCCCAAGAATAGGCTGAAGTCTTTGAGCAAAATACCTGTTATCTAACAGATATTTTGCTTGTCTAGTGCTACTTTATGATTAATAAACTTTGACAATTAGGAATACATCATGGTATTTTATGTCCTAAAAGCTAATATTTTAGATTAGCTGACTGACCATTTCATGTTTAGTCGAAGAATTGATCGAATGATCGGCTCGTATACGCTTCATCCTTTCTACAGACGAGGGATCGACATCTTGGACATAATCGAATAATGAATTGCCTGACCTAACACTTGTTGTGATTGTTTCTTAATATTTGTTGTTATTGTTCACATTAAGTTATTTTAGCGCAGGCTGCAAATTCTGAATTGAATAATTTTGCTTCTTTTTAAAATCACTAGGCTTACACCAAAGCAGTGCTAGTCTACGAGCACCGAAATACGCGAGCGCATGTCCAGTTACCTATCTAAGTAAACCTACGTCAAAATCATTATACTGCTATCCGCGTGTTGGCATATGTTACTAGCTTACCCAGGTGCCACAGGCTAATAGCACCAGCCACTGTCATTGCCATCACTACGCCGACTACGGGTATTAGAAGCCAATACCGTTTATAGTTATTTGTCTTCTGCGGTAGCATGGCGAGTGCGGGCAGCTTCGGTGCAAACCGGTAACCGACATATGGTGAGTCAACATTGGAAGCTGACCAATGGGTCGTCCCGGGAAATCGTCCAGGTGAGGCCACCTGCAAACCACCAATATGATAATGATTAAACACTCGTTGCAGTCAAATCTATTGTTCGAAAAAGAAAACAATAAGCATCACCAAATAGTACACAGTTTTATAATGGTCTGCTAGGCAAGATGACGCAGAGAAGCTCACATCACACCTTGTGTTTAGGTAGATTAGAAACTGTTGCTATTATTTGACCATTATTCTACGGCGTTAAGTAATCCGCAGTGATATGTATACAGGCTGTCGACCTAATATGCAGAAGGCCAAGTCCGATCATGAACAAATCTTACCATGCTTTTCTGTTGTTACCTAACTAACCTTTCGATTCGATCTGGGACTAGAAATCCCGTAGTCCTTCTGTGCTCGCCTTATCGAAGTATATGGTGAGGCTAAGACCTCATCGTCAAGATCTTTCAAAGGTGACGCCTCCATCCGATCTAAGAGCATAGCGCATCTTAAATTGCTATCGAGAATTTTACTGGAGTCCCCTTTAACATCATTCTTTGGAGACTCTGTCAACTCTTTCTGAAGCTCGTCAACGGGCTCTGTGTGTACCGCGCTTGATGGTACGGTAGTAATCTCCATTCCGGTTGAATTCTTATCTTCATTACCTAATGTGTGGGATAATTGATATAGTTGAACGGTTAAAAATTCACGATAGCAGTAATCTAGTTCCCAGTTGTCACCGTTACCTATGTCATTGGGAATCTCAGTAGACAAGGGTTAACCCGGTCACATACGGCTATTCTTTGGCCTCATTTAGCAGCTAATTTGAACCTGTTGCATTAATAGACTCGTCTTATTCAAAGCTTCAACCACTAAAATAACACCAAACATTTGATTGGTCGTACAGCCGTCTAGCAACAATGGCGTACGTTTTAAAGCAAGACAACGATCTGAAACCCTTCCTGGATATTTTCGACAATACCGAGCAACTATGTCACAACAGTTTCTTGTTGATTCTTAGGACACTATTGTCTCCCATTATACTCAACATACATATATACATTCAACCTACTTTCGGATGCAACTGTATTCGTCAGAGGCTTACTGCCACCTCCTTCCTCCTTTGAGGCATTCGTAACGTATGTGCACCAGTTCGAATCACGGGTAGTTGTACTAATAATATAACTCTTGATAATATTCAATTATATCGGGATCATTTGCCGGCGAGGTTCATTATCACCTAAAGTTTAGATTCGTTCTCTAACCAAAATAATTGCAAAATATGTTTACATATGATAATCACTGTGCCTTGTTTACAGTCCAAGGGACAATATAAAGGTGCGACTATAGACGCTGCCTGTCAATGAAACCGCGCGCTTATACTTTACGGCTTTTTTAATGTTATCCAAAAAAAAACTTGAAAGTCGGCAGCTATTAGGCATTCTAAGTCGAGGTCGTTGCAGGAAGAAAACGTTTGTAAAAAAATTTGGGTGCCGTTGCTTCGACTCCCGGGATGAACAAGTAAATACTACGTCGCTTGTGTTGAATAAAGAAAGTTGATATATATAATCACAGTAAGTAAAATAATTTTTGTATGGTTATAGTATTGCTTGTATCTCCAGTTTCTTAGTAGCATTGGACTGGTTCCGGGCGCTGAAGTCCATTATATAAATATACAGAATCCAAATAGATCACGCACGTCAATGTCAGGTAGATACAGTTGACAGAGGCGTTCAAAAATGTTTATTGTTTTCTGGGATACTTTATTTCTTTATGGTATATCATGGCTGATACATTTTATGAAACCTGGCAGAATGTTAAACTGGGTGTAAGTTTGTTAAGTAATATCCCACAACAGCACATCAGTTTGGAGCTTCACAGGAAATATAGTGACCATCTAACAGTCGGGCTTAGCCTTCTTAGTATGGTTGGCAAAATTCCTGTTGTTAAAACCGTTAGAAACCCACATGAATATATTTGCTAAGATACATAATAAATATATTTATTAATCTTAAATAAATAAAACAGAGATACCACTGTATGCCGCGAACAAATGGATAGTTGCCCGATCCAAATGTTTTGAATTTTATATAATACCGTCGTTAAACATTGTTTCACCCGGTTGACCTTGACCTTAAGACGGGGTCTATGTAAACCCGAGTTTGAACGTGGACTATCTTTGGAAACCCTAGGTTCAGTAGCCAAAAATGGACACCTCCCTATCTGACTATCTCACTGACTATATCACCTATCCTAATCTGACTATAGGGTAAACTTTGTTTAGCGCGCTGATTTGTTTTGTTCTGCTCATTTCATTTGGGAAAGAGCTGCTATTCAAACTAGATACAGAAATGGGAACCATCACTTTATTGCTTAATTCTCCACAGAATACATGAGCTTATACATAAATTAGTTTTTCGTATATTGCTCCTATATACGGCTTTTGAATATACTCACTATTTGTCGATATTAAGAGCTGTCCTCTTTCATAGTTAGTTCTTTTCCGCGGCAACCGGTGTATCTAGCGGCAGCAATCCCCGTATGTGCTCACGAAAATCGAACATCCCGCGTTTTCTTACACAAATCAATTTTATGCTTCTCATTTAATTATCTGGATTCTTTTCTGTCTGTGAAGTGTTTAGCATATTATATAGACAGACAGAAGCACACGTACTTAAATATGGAAACAATTTTGAGCAAAATCATTGATACCGAGAAGTTATCTAACTATGTGAAATCTTCTTTGGGAGATCTTGACAAATTAAGGAAAGTTAGCAACGCGTTGAGGAACAACCCAAGTCTTTGTTCAGTTCTAGAAGATGAACTCATCGATCGCCTAGACGAATTCTATACGAAATCCACTCAGAAAGACCATGGTCAGTGCCAGGAGTACTTGCACTGGGTGTGCTGCATCATAGATCGCCTCTCTGTGAAAAAATGGTCGAACCGAAATGAAACTCTTTGGGCTGCTGTTTGCGTAAGTTTTTTTGCAAACTTAGTGTCTAGTGTTTTATCGTATCATATATTTTACATGAACAAGATTACTGAACTCGCTGTCTTATCGTATCTGTAATCTCTCGCGCTAGTCAAAGAGCATGAAATTAATCAAACAATGAAACTGATTTTGTCATCGCTGGGAATTCTATTGGAAATGTTTTTTTTCTTTAATAACGTATCAGTACCATAGGCATTGTAAACGTAAAAAATATAACGTAATTTCTTAACGGTGCAGAAATTCCTAGATTATTCAGGCGTTGTCTCTTCCTTTCCTATTATTTCCTACTGTTCCGGAACCGAAAATCATGTCCTTTCATTTCGTTACACCCATCTGTTCGTTGCCACCTATCGTTTGTGCTAGATACCTGAATAAGCGGCTTTTATATTAGAGCGGTGCGGCTAACATGCACGTCGTTAGCAAACAACAAGACATTTATGATACATTAGAAACCTGCATTACTGTTAATAATAATTTTTAAAATTATCGACAAGGTTATGAAGTATGAACGGCAACATCGCTTTCAGACTCTACAGGATAAGTTTTTCGGGTAGTGCCATGTTTTATTTTTCATAGTACCATTCGTAATTCAAACAGTGTGTCAGTATAAAATAGTTATTATTTTACCTGTATTTTTGCAGTGGTAGCACACATAGCATGACTTAGCTGAAAGTAATCCTCGCGTAAATCTTTTCAGGATGTCGATATGGGCTGCGGACCAAGCTTATTGAAACTAGCCCTTCAGTCAAATGTTGTGACTCAAAGTGATCTATTAAATCGTATTAACGAATTACCTTCTACGGCGCTAATCCATGGTATGCAGGCTGTGCAGGATAAGGATATGCTACTTAGTGCAGCCACAAAAATTCTGGATGATACCACATTGTAAGTATTTTATAATATGTTGTCTATTAAAATTTTCTACATATAGTGGACTTCAAAACCTTATTATAAAGCCATATTATATATATATATATATATATAGCGATTTAGTTGTATGGTTTTATACGAATATGCCTATATGCAACGATAACATATATTAGCAAATGCTGCTCGCATCGGAGTTTATCTTCATACAAAAGCGTCAGAAACGCGCAAATGTGTCATTTAGAATGCCCTAAAATACAACCCATAAAAAGGCATCTGTGTTTGGGCCCGAATGCATGACCTTTTGTAAAAGCTGTGTTACTTGAAGCAGTTACCTTTTCTTTGATTCTTACTTGAATCATTTATGAAAGAGTTAACCCGTGATGTCCTCAGTAGCAGAGCTAAAAAACACGGAAACAGTTCAATTTTTGTAAAGTATTTTTTAAGTTCGAGAGAATAATTTGCAACATTTTTTTCTATATATTTTGTGCATTAGTTGGTTTCTATAATCGTTTTCTATGAACGCGTGTGTTAATATTAAATTTTTTTTATTGCACTAGGATAAAGCTGCTCATAGCATTACAGTGCGTAAAGGCGTCATACGTGGATTGGGCCCTGTCCTGTAACGACGTCGCCAAACGATTGAGCGTTGCGCTAAAGGTGATTTAGAGGCCCGCAGTCTTTCCTGGATGTTTCTGGTTATTTGCATACACATTTGTGAAAGCTTACCTAGATTTTACATGTTCTGCTAAGGCGTGTCCGTGTATGAACGATGCTGTCAGCTATGCTAATATTCTTCGACCAAATTCCATGACAAGACGTGTTACATGAAATAGCATTGGAACAAGAAATCAAATCACACTTAATTCGATTCGGTATCCCACGAAAAATTGGGTGATCTGTCTTTGTTCAGGCGCTCCATGTAAGTGACGACGCTAATCTCAAACGCTCCTCCCTAACATTGTTAAGGCAAATTCTTAGCAAGTGTGGGGTAGAGTGTGGGGAGCTAATCGTGAATATGCTGTCGGTTGCTGAGCAAAAACAAGTGCATCTCATCGAACCGGTACGTGTGTTTTAGTATAATACTTATTCCCGCACTATGAATAATTACGTCTTGTCATAGTCAGAAAATATATAGGCTGCTTCGATTGTCTTTATTAACATATCTGAAGGAATTTGTACCGCATGGCGAAATATTTGCAACTTCATAATGCGCCAGGCACGTCGTGCCTTGTCTTATTCAGCTCTGTTTATTGGGGAATAATTTGTCAGTTTATGAAAAATATCCCCGTATCATATGTACAGTATAAAATTTCCTTTTACAAGTAATTAATTTCAATGAAATTGTGACTAACTGTGATTTTTTTCGTTCTTAAGGTTCTGATGCAATTTGTTGAAACAACGCGCGATTCGTCTACCTCGGACGTCTTTTGGACCTTATGCGTGTTTCAGCGACTCTTTTATCACCAAACTTCATGGGTTCGCATGACAAGTCTTCGATATTTTCTCGGTCTTCATAATTTCCATCGGCGCGTGTTCACAAATCACGGAGAACACTTCTATGCGGAATCATTTCTGGATGCTATTGATCAACTCTCACTTTACGCCAGGTACCTTATAATTTAGTCTTTATCAGGTGTTCGTTCTGCAATAGATCTCCGGCGAAGTAATTGACTAAGTATTTGAGAGAAATTTAAATGGATTTGTTAGGCGGAAAAAAAAAAATTTTTTTCGAATTTTTTGACCTCGAAGGATTTTTTCGAATTTACGATAAAAAATTACTCATTATATTCTGAGCTGAAAAGAAACAGCAAATTTTTTACACATAAAAATATCGCTACAATAAAAAGGAAAATAATACAGGAGGGATGACATATGTGAAGTGTGCAAGCTACAAGCTCGAGTTTGCGCATGGTTTCCGCAGTAGTGGCCAAAGAAATTCTAGTGGCGAAAATTGTGAACTAGTCCAAATCAAGGTGAGGCCAAGAAAAGCAAATAGAAATAACAATTCAATTGATTGCTCACTTATTTCTTTTTAGGACGGAAACGTGTCCGCTAGCAGGGCCATCATTGGTTGGGTCAAGCCTTCGAGACTGGCTTCAAGGTCTTGAGGAAAATATTCATAAGAAACAATTTTCTTCGTTCGTTGCGTGTTTGTTACACAACGTGTGTGCCCGTAGTTCATGGAATTCAGTGTCACTTCTGTATATATCCGAGGCTATTGTGTCGCTTGGTAGCGTCACCTTACTAGAGAGCCTTCAGCCAATTCAGACAGCGTTGAACATTTGGTCATTCCAAGAGCCACTTGTTAGAGGGTATATAATACGACTCTGGTTGCACATTGCATGTAAATTCTCTTCTGAAGATGTTAAGGTAAATTACCAAACACCGATAGGTTAACGAGTTTTGCCCTTGCCTCAATTGATCCGTCACTGTTTTCGAACACTATTCTAAAAAAATCGGTTACAATTATGACGCCATTTTGTTTTTTTACAACGATCTTTCATTCTACTGCCAACAACACAATCAAGAAGAAACATTTTTATTTCAGTAGTTTGTTGATTTAGTTATTAATTTGTTTGACTAGCTGTTCGAGATCACTTTCCTCGACATTCTCTTCCAAGACACCTAAACTCTTTGATGATTTTTTTCAGGTTAAACAACTGTGTCAACTTGCATCCCAGTTTCTCGAAGACGCTGGTTGTATTCGAGAACATCTCATTCCTTTGGAAGTTGAACCTTTTAGTCCCATCGGCCTGTGCATCCTTGCTTGGAAGCAGTCCGATTGTGCAGAAGAAATTCTCAATCTAAACGCTGATAATCCTCAATTGTGGCTACAACTTTCAAAGGTCCGAACTGTACCATCGGTTTGGAAAGCTTTGAAGAAAGCGATTGAAATTGATAAAGTACAGATAGCTGGAATAGCGTTACTCAAATCATCAGCAACACGTGAAAACGAAAAAAACGCTATTGTTGAGGTTCTTGGCAAGACTAGGCTAAAACGTGACGTCCTCAATGATGCTATCAACGCTCACCTTGATTGGAGGCTGTTTTACCTTTGGTCGAAAATGGGTTCGGAGGATTCTCCCATTTGTGCGAAATGCTTTTCTGAAGTGGCCCAGATTTCCGACTGGGCCGATATGTTTGCCAAACCGAGCATCACTTATATGATCCGCACACTTTCCAATATCTCCGTTTTGCAGAGCTCACAAAAACATGCTGCTGAGACCCTCGAGCTGGCTTGTCAACTGTTACCTTTAACGCCCCAACCGATGGTATCTGATCTATTGCGGCTCATTAAAGCATATTTGGGTGCTGCCGATTCCCGAGAGACTCTAAGCCGAATTTTGAATATGTCTTGGGTGTCTTGTTTAGAAACACGAAAAGCCACGTCGATGTTTTCTGAGTGTGTCAATGTCTTCATGAAGATCCTTTTTGATCGGTCTGTATTTTTGTTTGCATTTGATGACCTTTTGGAGATCTGCGTCATGGTTCGGGAATATGTGGACAGCGTCCCCTGGTTTGGTGAAATGTTTTATTTAACAATGATTGGGTTTCTCAGAGAAAACAAACAATGCATTGGCATTATGTGTGATCAAGTAGCTTTGGGTCTATGTTATGGGCCAATATTTCGAAAGGATCAAAAGGTGATTCTGGACACGGAGCGATACGTTCTGAACAAACTGACTAGTACATATATGCCCGATTCTACTAATCTGAAAACATTAACTGAATGCGAAGCGGCGATTAATGTCCGTGCCAAATGTGTCAGTTTTATCCGTACAATCGAGCCAGATGATGCATGGAAACTGATTAAAGCGCTCCAATCGCATGATAATGCAGTGTCATCCACAAGAAAAAGGTTAGTAAGATTCTGCTGAAAATGTTTTGTTATTAACTGTTAATCCTAGAGATTGAATTTACGTTTCCTTATGACGTCTATTTATGTACGTCTTTGGATCTCTTGTATGATTTAAATTGGCTGCATCAACAGATTAATCCAGCCATCCATAACATGACCATACATTTAAATACCCCATAAAGAGAGATGACTGTGTAGACTACGTTGCTACCTTGGATGTTGCTATCTTAGGGTAAAAACTGATTTGCAGATTAAAAACGATGTTGACCGAATTTATTTTCCTGAACTCATGTGTTGACATCATCTGTGAACATACAAGGTGTTAAAAAGAACAACAATTTATGTTTTTAAAACAAGTAAGTTAGAGACACATGACTTGTTAACTTCGTTGAAGTCGTTAAACCCTGTTGCCTAACCAACTATATTTTCTGCATTTTCACCAAACGTACATACGTAACGTTAATATCTAAGCTTCTCGTTATATTCGGATTTTTTTATTAAATACGGCGTATAGAACCATGTTGACCGCCATCTCTGTATGCGGATAGTAGAACATAACGTAGCGCCTACTACCTTATCCATTTCAGGTACTTCAATAATTCCACCATCCACCGTGTGAAGACCCGTGCGTGGCAGGCTATTCTCGTGCTGCTTGATACAGCTAAAAGTGGACCGATGTTGGACGCGTTTCTAATATATGTTCTTGAACAGCTCAAAAATGGATTGCATCAAATGACTGTACGAATCCTCATGGAGTGGTGCACGGTCAAGGTTATCCTCAGAGGGCAATTCGATGTCATTGATTTAATGTCATCAGCAACCGACAAGGTGAATGACCTAGATACTGTTGTAGCTCTCGCTGTAAATTAGTTTAGCCAGCGTTCGGAAGTGTTTGTCTTACTGAATTTTGTCACACACGTAATTCGTTCGCATTAATTCCAATCTGGCCGCTATTTTTGCACCACATGTCCTTACATTTTCCTACTACGCTTATTGCACATCGCCTATATCTTTGAAAACATACAGAACATAATATATACACCACATGCATACTTACGATAATGTGCTAACCTGTTTTCGTTCTTCGAATGGTGATTTCAGGCATCCGCTGAACGCATGGGGTCCATTTGCTCCTACCTTAATATCTTGATGCATGTCTGTTGCGCTATCCCCGATTGTCAACTTATTACACGCAGCGCTCCACTCGTAATGCCTTGGATGATGGCGCAACATTTTGCAGTTCGTTTGCACGCACAATTCGTATTTCGTCGTATTGTCAGCCTATGCCGCTGTGAATCCCAGAAATGTCATGCCGTGTACCGACCTCAGCTCGAGGCTCTTCAGAGGGTCGTCAACTATGGGGGAGGCGCAAAAAATGCTACGAAACTGGATAGCGATTTTTACATGTCAGAATGCGTTTTACCCGAATGCGAAACCTACGATCTTGTGTTTGACAAAATCCCAAAGTCATACGGTTTGGCAGATGTCGACTGTGTCCCATCAGCGCTATTTGAGGGCGACTCAAGTTGGGCAAGAGATAGCGGACGCGAGGTTAATACTGAACTGAAGATTGAGGTATACACATCCTGATCAATCAGTATATTGTCTATGACATATACATATGTATACCTTTATTCTGCATTTATTCAAGTAATCGGAAAGTTAGACGTAAAAAAACAGGAAAGCAAAGAGAAAATGAAATTAAAACTGCCTAAATGTAATCTATTTCAAAATGTCGAGCATATCTGTATATATGCTAGTACATGTTTTAACATGTTTTGATGCGGAATTCCTGTGCTTCATTCAGCTGGTCGACGAAAATTGCTCGAGACCTGATGTAACAACGGCTATACACGAAGCTAACTATCAACGCAAGATAGTACCTGTGAGCGTCTTACTCGAGGAGGATGGTCGTCTAAGTAATTCTGCGTATCAAAACAGCTACAGGTTTTATACTTATTTCAGAAATAAGAAAACAATTATATTACATTTTCTTATTTTTGCTAATTTATTTTTGTTTTGTTAATTTTTGCTAAGTAGCTAATTTAATAGGGATAGAGAAGCAATTGCCGATAAGCTTTAGGTTATGAGTATTAAACAAACCTCCCAGCTATGCGTATACTATGCACAGGCAGGGTGAAACTCGCAAGTCAATTTTGAAATCACGTAACTTGGAAACTTCACTTTATTTACTATTTATATTCGCAGGAACGAATCTGAGCAAGAACAGCTTATCGTGGTAGCGTCGATGATCGATCGACTTCCGAATCTCGGTGGCATTTGCCGAACCGCAGAGATCTTTGCTGTGTCAGAGTTGGCTATTGCCAATATCAAGACACTTGACATGAAGGAATTCCACAACCTCTCAGTATCCTCCCATCATTGGCTGCCGATCCGTGGGGTGCCGCCTTCAGCCATTGAGGACTACCTTCGTGAGAAAAAAGTCGAAGGCTTTACTCTTATAGGCGTTGAACAAACTGCGCGCAGTGTGCTATTAAATCATTTCGTTTTTCCTAAGAAGTCACTTCTATTGCTTGGGTAAGGAAAACAGATATGAAGATAATCTATACACTACAAACAGCTGTACTTTATGGCTATCCTTCCCTGATTACTGAATACGTATTTCGCCGTATGCCACTCAATCGCATAAGGGTAGTTAGAATCGCAAAGTGTATTCACCTGGTACGCGGCCGAATTGATGAGAGATGATGACTCGTCTATTACCTGCCGGTCGTTTAATAAGATCCTCCCTTTTGTAACACAACTAGACGTACTCATTCTCGGATGTTACCATTTGTATGCTCGATTGTATCTTATGAACGAATTAACTTAACATGCATGCGATGAGCCAACATTGTATGCACATCAATGAGTTCTTGGCGTGGTTCATTTTGTTCTGTGCCTATTTATAGGAACGAAAAGGAAGGCCTTCCGTCGCACCTTATTCATGAAATGGACCACTGTGTAGAAATCCCACAGCAGGGAGTGGTTCGTTCGCTCAATGTGCATGTTTCTGCAGCTTTGCTTGTATGGGAATATCGTAAACAGCACATGCCGTCCTGCGCAACTAATTAGAGAGATGTTGCCGTAAAGGATGTTTTGTTGGTGGAGCTTGGTTGCTAGGAGTTTCTTTTTCGAACGGAGAAAACACGTTGACCTACTTGTTGGTAAAAATCTAATGAAGATTAAGCACGGTCTTTTATTAATAGGTTTTCTTCAATAGCACAATTTTAATTCATATCTTGTGTACCTGTCAATATACATAGCGAACTGTCACAGCATTGTTAGCAGATTTAATCTAATCCTTGGTTTGACAGCCCGTTGTACCTAAATCACAATATTATAGACTAACGGATGATATAGGTTTTATTGGTATCCTGATTTTGTTGGAATCTGTGTTGGGTGTTGATGTTAGTTTCTATTTGAATTCACTTAATAACAACTGCTAGTGGGAAAAGCTGTTCATTTATTATCGTCATATTGTAGAAAAGATAGAGGGCAACTGAGTGCTTGGTCAATCAAGCGATCTATGAAACGTCGGCTGATGGAATGCTTAACGGCGGCATCGGAAAACTCGAGATATTTTTGTCTATGAAACATGTATATAGCGAGATGGCCTGATAGCCACAATTTCGTGTGTTACCAAATGAATAGTCGTGCAGGTGTTGGAACTTCTTTCTAGAAGTGTATGCATGTAACGCTGACACAGTACTGCAAATCGGCAAGTTTCCTAGCAAGAAAGTTACTCAAGGATTGAAGAAACTAATAAAACAAAATTCAAAGATACAACCAAATGAACATATGTGCATACTGAGAAAAGTTTTATACCATATATTAACATACCTTTCAAGCTTGGTTATATTTCGGATACATTATACTTCAATGATCAAATAAACGTGTTAAGATAACCAACGGGTCTTTCTCGACTATTTTACCATGTCATATAGTTTAAATGAGACAGGTTCGTTCGACAAAACTACGTACTTAAGAGAAAACTTGGAAGTGACAGAAAAATTAAACAAATGCGGCTGTTCTTTACAATCCATGAGTGCTCAAATTCCTATTGTATAATACTATTAGGCGCAAAATTATTTCAGCCAAAAGAATTTGCCATACATCTTATTTGCTGACTGAAATATTGATTCGGCTTAGGATCAAGTTATTCGATAGTGCTAGCTGTTTCATCAATACGCAAATCTGCGGCAAAAAAGAACATTTATCATTTTGCGTCTTTATATCTGATTCAACCAATGTTCGACATAATATAGCACAAAATACCTGTTGTACAAAATTTTCTCTCATACGTTTTACAAATACCGAGAATAACTATTCTCATTTGCAACTACTTTTCTATGCTATGCCTATACACCGGAGCAAAATACCAATACCAACTAATACCCCAGGTACATTTTCAAGTTTTGTTTATTTAGCGCTAATAACTGCGGGATTGCTTTATTCACTATACCTTACAAATAAATAATCTTGTGTGAAATGTAAAGTGCGCACCTTCGATGCTCTTCACTTACGCACATACCTATGTTCTTCTTCTTTTGAATTCAAACTGTTGTCTCTACATATTTCGTGCCCCATTCGCACCGGCCAATCGCAAAGAATTTACATTGAAAGCATAGAAAAATCTGCTAACATTTGTTCGTCATAGTGACGCATAGCCTGCATGACATGTTCAACATAGCTGAGTATTCTGTATTGTTGTTTCCTTACAGTCTAGTATCTGGCAGATGTTAACCAGCATCTCTGAAAGAACTACGTTATTAAAATATCTAAATCGACTCATCTTTATTGCTAGTCGCAAATCCGTTCATGCCTCTTAAGAATGTAGTTCGCCTAAGAATTTATTCAAAAAAAAAATTACCACTCCTATAGCGTTAGCTGTTTTTCCAAATTGTGTGAATATATGATAGGTAATAATGCCAGTATCTCATTGCGTTTCGTCGGCTGGTACATTCTATTCAAAGAATGACGATATATATATATATATATATATATATATATATATATATATATATATCAAGAGAGAGAGAAAATGGTTTTGTAATACTATTTGTGGTTATATAACATTGATGTCATAAGCGTGAGTTACCGGCTGTCTAAGTGTTATCCCGATCTAACAATGTTATCTACTATAGGGTTGGTAGCTGTTACTTTTCTGCAACTAGTAACGTATGAATAGACGGAAGCGTTTTCAAACAAACAGAGACACGCCGAGGGCTCACACAGATGTAGATATGGAGGCCCATAGAGCTACTACAAACATATATACATACGTATTGAAACACACACATAGTTATTTGCGCAAAACTAATAAACACCATATAATACTCAATAACACAAATATAAGTTTATTCCTCATGGTAGCGCTACGACGGGCAAGGAGAATGAAGAAATGGTCGCTGTGGGTAGTTCACTGGCTGACGGGCTAGTAAGCGACTATCTGCATGTGGAGGGACATTTTTCGCGGGGCACTGTTGCCACGAAGGGCGGAGCGCTCGCTAGAAATAGTTCCGACGCGCAACCGCTCCATTGTCATGTAGTACTAATAGTAATTTGCAGTTATCACTGAGGTTGTCGCTGATAATGACGAGAGTGACAGCGCTAGCGACAAGTCAATGATGGTAGCGGTTTTCTGGCGACGCACCTTGCGCATCAGTGCCGAGACATGCTGCTTCCCCAACTAATAACAAACATCTACACAAAATAGTAACGAACAAACACGTACGCAGACAACGGTAGACACGGCGCTATTCGCAAATGGTTGGTGACGACTTCGCTGTCCTGACTATAGTGCTGTGGCCAGGATTCGCGGAAGGTATCGCTTGATAGATACTTACAGGCACTCGTGCGCGCGACAACCTGCTCATTGTAAATGGGATCCGTTTAGTTGTACGGAATGCAATTGCTTTCGGGAGAATGTTCGTCGTAGTGGAAGCGGTATAGCTTCCACTATGGAGAATAAAATGCGAACGGGCACAGAATCTTGTCTATGGGCGAAGGAGCACTCTCCGGTCGTTTACGGGTTGACTCCAGTAGACATTGCTCAATCCAGCTGTTTTGCCTCGTCGACTCGATCCTCTGTAGACGATAGGGCTAGAATAGGCACGTCTACCTACCCTCTCTCTGACAGCTACCTGTGCAGTAACCTGTGGCAGAGTCATCGCCGTCTGTCGGAACGATGGTCACATGGCACCAGATCATGGAGGGTGACTGCAACGCAGCAGGCAAAATAGAAGCACAGAATGAAAACGCACACATTCTGCACTGCCAGTCTACTAGATAAATGCGTAGGATGAACTTGGCCAAAAGAGCAGCCTATTCGACCGTTGGTATGTTAAGCGATTAGAATTTCCTAGGCATGTTGTTTTTAGTACAAGCCGGATGATCTATCGTCAAATTACAGTGAATTTATGGTGTTCCTAAAAACTCAAACTTCAAATCTAACTGTTTCGATATACTGGCGCAAAGTTCTGTGTCGCTTGCGCTATGGTAAATGTCTATATGGATAAACTTCAAGAACTTGTATCGATTAAAGTCGATCCGTTTTTAAGGTTTGCTTATGTACGTTAGCAACAGGGCTTTTGAGCTCATTGTTTCGGAACACGAACAATACTGTAAAAAATTAATTTTACACCCAAACGCCTTTACTTCACAAACAGAGAACTACAGTTCACCAAAGTTATAAGTCAACAAAATCAAGAATCCCGTGCTTACTGATAATCTAATTCGTTTCACCTGACTTAGAAATAGTATTTACCGATTCGACATATGCATATTGGGACACAATGGATAACCCTAATTTTCGAAAGTCAATTGAGGAACAGACGTTTCCTTCTTTGGAAAACATTCGCTTGTGTCCGCCTCCACAACCAGCTCTTGTCATTGATGAAATGGCACTTCGGAGAAGTGTCATCTTTAACGAGGGCCGCCTGAAGCATGAAGAAAAACTTTTCCTGGATATGGTGAAAAGCGGCGACATACTTAATCTACGGCAGCTAACTCAGGTGAGACGAAAAACCATTAAGCCACGAGAACAACAGTTTTAGGTGTCTGAGTAAGATAAATCGATATACACGGCCCAATATGTTACGGACCAAAGTGTCGCGTCTGTATTCCAAACCAGCGCTTTTTTAAAATTAATTTGGCCTCTCTTTAAATGGTATCATTTTGCGCAAAGGAAAAAGCAAGGTAAAACCACAATAACATAGCCCTGTAACAAATAAATTTAAGCAACCAACCTATCGGGGCAAATTCTGGTAACGTTTATACTGATACGAAATCATAGTTAGCTTTTATAGCATGATGACTATCAGCCGAAGATTAATTACTCGAACGAATCAATATAGTGCGAAGACTGCTGCATTTTATAGATACCTCAAAATACTAAATGTTTATCAATAAATGTTGATTCCCATGGCTCCTGCACGTAAAACAAACCCGTCACATGTGACTCGACGTATCGTTTCATTATATTCAAGTCAGTTCTGCAACGGAATATTGGTAAACTACTATTTGTATGAGATTCTGTCCAGGAAATGACCCCAGGGTGACCACATCATCCCTGTCTATGAAATCATGCTACAGTGGTCACTGAAATATCCCCGTGTATTACAACATCTCTCACTGACCAAAAAAGTATTCTTAAGAATGTTGCCAGTGCAACCGTGATATCGGAAGCCCTTCATAGGCGCGATTACATTGATAGGTACATGGAATTAAAGTATCACTGTTGTGAAATCATGGTTCACTTATCGTAGTTTCCTACCAAAAAGCTATAAAATTATTAATGGCGATGCTTCAAAATTGTCTTACGGATCCTGGAAATTCGTTGACTTACACAATAATAAAAAAATGTGTGAGGTTGACAAAAAGTCTTTAGAATTTTATACCGTAACTCATTAGGTACCTATTAATTGAACTTTTTGAAATGGTCTTCTATGAGTAAACAGCTCCGGTTAAAACCGAAAAGCTATGTTTTTTTAGCGGGTGCAGTAAAAATACAGCCTGAAAGTCCAGCTTTTCCACACCAAAGCCAGCATGACTTGATTATGTATCTTTTAACGCCTTCAGCATCGATGTAACTTCCTTTAAAATGATTTTGGTTAGGATCAGTTGTTCTACCAAATAGAGGCTTTTATGCAATTATGTGCGGGCACGGTTTCGTCGAATGTAGCGGCGCCGGAAAAAAGTAAAGTATGCAGTCTTCTCATATCGAAGAGGCAAGACTGGGCATAGGCCTAAGTATTTTGCAACTGCTTAATGCGTTTGATATTTAAGAGTGATACTTATGTGAGCATTATGAGCATTCTCTATCGGAGTAATGATTCACGAAATTCGTGTATCTCAACCAGTTTACTTTTACAACCAGTAACATAATTTTTAATATAACAAACTAACATGCTAAAATTATGGATAATCCAATTTTTATTTTCAGCTTTCCAATTTATCTCAGGTATATAATAAGCACATTACTTTCTTCCTTTTTAACTTGTTGATCAACTGATATTCATGTTGCAGTTCAATTCAGCTTAATGTTTGTTTAAAAAAGACAAGTGCTCCATATCAGCATCGTTATGGAAGCGCACAGTTAAACAGAAAAAATGTGTAAGATTTTTCCAATAAACGCAATGTGCCAGCATGATACATTATTTATTTAGTAAGCCTTGATAATTATTAAGTTGAATCATTGAATTTTAATTTTCCTTCAGTTTACCTTAAGTGGGCCTTGATTGCTAAGTCTTTACTTTAGCACTATCCATTAATATATCCGGCTAAAACTTGCAGTTGCCCTTTCCTAATAACACTTGACATCTTCAATTCCGAAACAGCTGTCCAAACTTTGCTTTTTTCGTGCAGCCTAAATTTTTCGGAAATTTCCTATAGATGGGGCATATAAGCAAACGCAATCGCTTTTGTTGGTATATTATCCAAATATGAACGATTCACCGGAAATTCGTCCTAGCTTTTTTTTTTTGACTACCTACTTACTCAATGGCTTGACACGTATAGGACCAATGCCAATTCTTCGTTAAACGGTAATCAACAGAGGATTAGCCTTAACAGACAAATTCACCGTAAAAACCGGACTGTCTTGAGAGCTTGTAAGCACCAGGGGAGTGGAGTTCGAACATAAAAAAGGTACTGTTCTTTGTTCACACACATTTTGTAGAATGTGTCGTTAAGACAACGAATCCTGATATCTTTTAGTTATAAGGTACGCGTTAGGCAGCACGTAAATTGAACAATCAAATGACTTTGCTGAAATACCTATTTGTACCGAAGCACAATGTAACGAATGCAAATGTAAACTATTTGTATCTAATGGACAGGTATCAAGGTAGGTGTCATTGTGCAGTTAGGATATGAAATGTATCCGGGAAAAATAAACGAAGTCAAGTGACTTAAATTATTCTTTCGAATCAATCCACCTAATGGCTCTTTTCCATCTAATTGGCAGGAGAGAAAAAAACCTAGCAATTTTAAAGTCCCCAATTACACTCGAAGGTACTAGATTTTCTTTTTTTCAATCAAGTTTTCCTCCATAGAGTTTGTTTAATTCAGTAGTTGTAAACGTTGGATATTTAATACTCGTAATACCACTTCGACAAACATTACTTTCTAATGACTCATGGAGGTTTCATTGAATCAATTCAGTGAATTTTAAAACACTTTTGGTTTAACAAGCATGGTTCGAAGTGCACCAAGGATAAGGGTTTGGCTAACCTTACGAGAATAGATGATCACCAGCTGAACCTTAAAAAGCATAGGGCAACAACTATATAAAATGTTTATTTTTAACTGACGATTCGACAAAACGCCGCTGAGTTGATTCCCACTTACACATCTTTTTAACTCATTGTCATGTACATGATTAAACGATAAGTGCTGTAGTGGAATATGTTCTTTAAACATGTAAGTCATAACCACAGTTATTCACCTGTTGTCATATCTCAAGGCAAGCACGTTTTTCGCGTTCGATATGGTGCTGCATTGATTTGTCTGTGCCGTTTTAATCTTAGACGCAGTCTCGGGTAAATCCTTTGTGATATTTGCCGGTATTTGCTCTTGTTATGCAACGTCACGACATTGGCGGTAGCCCTTCGTTAGCAGTTTTTCCTTAAGAGGCATAACAGCAGCAGAGGACCAGGTGCGGATTGCTCTGTGTAATGTTTTTTGCGCTATTGATATATATATATATATATCCATATGTGTGCGTCTCTGCTAATGTGTGTGTATGTTTTTTACATTTTGTTATTTCTGCTTTCGGCTATGTATCCTGTTATTGAAGCTATTGAAGTTCTGTGCCATAATATGCGGCCAGTGAACCGTGTGATAACAAGAGCTGGGTAGCATAAATGTTCCTACAATGTCATCCCAGTTCGTATATATAAGCATGATTAAAATAAATACTGTAATCTGTTTAAAATACTAACCTGATTAAATCAGTAAATTAGTGTGACTGAGTATCGCTATGAAGCTGCGCCAGGAGGCTATTGGCAACCTGCAACGTCCTGCAGATGGTGCGCGTCTCGAGCCAAAATACCGGGCCAGGTGAGCGCTTAAATGTTACTAGCAATCGGTCGAATTGACACAGGCTATCGAACGGAACTGCAAACACAGCTGATATTATGACGTTGACAAGAAACTGCCCACACTATTTTCAACGTTATTTTTACAGCTTGTGAGATGCACCATTTTGAAATCCAATGCTTTCTATGGTAAGGTAATGTCGAACTTGATTGAGTTTAACGGTCTTTGAGAATCAATTGGATTTACACACAGAATTACGGATCAATGTGTAATGGTTGGTATGGCAAACCTCTTCAATGTTGGTCTTCACTTTGGTCAGCCGGATAAGAGCACTGGTATTACAAAACTAACATAGAACTTAAACTTCCTATATTAGTTGGACTTGTGTGTCAGATACATTTGAAACTAAACGAGATATGTCAACGTCAATAGATGATGCTTTCATCAAAGCATGTCTTGTAGCTCGCTTAATAGTCACACTAAGGGGTATCTGTGTGTCACAGAATACGCGTGCCGTTCAGTATGCTTATATGCTATAGGAGTGCACGCTAACGAGCATGCCAGTGCATTACCTACACGAAAATGACTAAGTCTTATCATACAGTACACACTTAGAAACCTTTTCTGAAGCAAAAATGGCTGTTATTCTATCGTGCAAGATCCAAATGCAATTAAACAAGAAAAAAAAACATATTCCATAGAAAATTATACTAACCCAATTGCTATCAATACAATAGTAAATGGGGATATTAAGGACCTGACCAGTGAATGAACTTATTTTATATCCTTATCATGATATAAGCCGCCTTGAAGCAATTGCCCTTGCCAAATCGCAAAAAAACCAAGTGGACCTTGCATATCTACTAACGCTAGTACAGAGGTCTTAAAAGTAGTAATAATGAACTAAAAAACATCTTACTAAAAAACTGTTAAGATACACCACTGTAGTGTATTGAATAACGACAAAATATTCTAACACTTAACATCATAATAAATAATGGCAGAGCTAAATGTTAATTATGTGTCTTCTCTAATCTTCTAACACTATAGGTGGATTCTTTCTGGCTTTGATTAATAGGCCGAGTATTGAGATTGAGGTCATTGGACATGTGGATCAAGCAGATTAATAATCTATGCATATGCAATGAGTCTAACCGTCTGTATACTGTCGAAACTCGTTCAACTTGGTAGTAACATCCATGCACTTAGGTATTTATATATATACTATATAATATGCACCTAGATAGAAGATAGCTAGTTATCGGTCGTAAGCTGTTGATCTTAAGCCTTCCAGAGGGAAAATGAGTATATATGAATTATATTAATATATATAAAAATTATTATATTGAAAAACTTAAGGTTCGAATCGCTTAAGCGAAAATTATTCTGCCTAACAGAATTATGACGTTTGGAAATAATCTTCCGTTTTATGTATTAATTGCGATCCTTATAGTAATCTCGTCAATACCACAGCATAATATGACTGGTTAATCTTTGAGTTTAGCAAATTTCGGTTCCGTTCCAAAGTGATAGGCAGAGTATAATGTATACAGAAGAAGTACATCTTATAACTCTCTGGTCCGGTATTCTAAAGCGGCATGAAGCATTTAAACATCTATTGCCATTTAGCTTTGTGCCAGAGAGATGATTCAGCTGTCTCCTTAGAAGTAATCCCATTTAAATTCCGTGAAAACAATTTTCGAACTCAATCGTGGGAATAAACCTCAACTGGACACAATATTTTGCAATGAAAATGTTTGTTGAGCTTTGAAAGCAGAACGATGTTATAAGAAGTCAGATCAAGTGTGCTTATTTCGCATTTTGTGCCAAGCCGTTAGGCAGTCATTCAGGCCAGATCTGAAGAACACGGGAATTGAGGCACACGACCAGTTCATTATGTTACTCTGAGCAGAATTTTTTTTGTCAGTTTTTTGCTTATGTTTGGAAGCATTTGCCCCGTCATTGTGTTGCTGAAGAATTTAAGATTGATCTTCGTATCTACAGTAAATATTTTACCGTCATTAGAGCGCTATTAGTGACCTGCAGCATCGTAATTACGCAGCACCTTGTATAGTAACTTGGAGTTACGAAGCAAATAAATGTCGTAATGAAAAAGCGCGCACACACATACACACGCATATATATATAGGAAAAACCAGTGTCGTAAGCAACCCGTCACGAAGGCTAACGAAAGTAATGTAGTTGAAATCAAGCTATTGTGAATATTCTTTTATTGTATTATAGAACCATCCAGATTTAAATGTAAACTGTCTTGATTTCCGTGGTCGAGGAGCTCTTGAAATAGCTGTCCGCTGTCGAGATCCCCACATGGTCCAGGAACTGCTCGGACATCCTAAAATCGAAACCGAACTCGTGTATAAGGCTGTACTCGTGGCCATCGAGGAAAACATGATCGATGAGGTCAGCACGCTACTTGACAGGTAACCGACTATTAGCATCCTATTAGAGATCCGAGTGATGAAAAAATCGAAGTTCTATAATTTCGCAGTGTTTTAGTTTTTTGCTTGTTATATGGATATTAATATGTTTACTATATGCAAATATTTGTTTTATAATACTTTTAAAAAGACCATTTTAATATTCACAACATCATTTATAGCTTAAAATGCCTATTATACTAGTTTAAATTACGCTTCGTTAGATTGCGCTGCGTATTGTATCGCAACAGTTGAATTAAGTACGTGATTTTACCTAGAGAAAAGGAAATACGTATGTAGAATTAACCGTTCCCAATTGTTGTTACGCAACATAATTAGCTCTCAAATGAAAGCCTTACCTCGTACCAAACGTAACGTTAAAAATACTCTACATGTCGCCGATAAAGCTATTTAGTTTTTCAGTCTTCTTCGAAATAACCACATCATTAATATTTTGAAAGTGCTAGCCTGGCCTACTAATTTATTTGGCGTTTTTGGGCAGCAGATGGAATAATCGCCCAAATAACGAAACAATGTTCGATCAAAACGATCTATACGTGGATCCACTTTCATACATCTGCAACTTGTTTTGTATCGTTAGTCATCTAAGCCGTGTTGCGTGGATTCAAATAGTTGTAATTCTCGATGTGACACGATCTTAGCTACAAACCTGACGTAAACGAATTTTTTCCAAAATCCAACAAAATATATGGGATCACCAGCGTCTCGTGGAAGCAAATTTTGCCACAAAATTGCACTACTTTGCACAACTTTCTATCGCTTTAGATCCTTTATGTTACCAACTTTAAATTCAGCCTGCCGGCCTGAGTCAATTCTTAGCCTCTATCGATCGTTTCCGCAGTTTATAGCACAGACTTGGATCCCACCAAATCCATAAGGTTCTCCATATCGAGGCGTACGCCAGACTGATTCGTGCGGTAAATATTGTTGGTGAATTTTTTTCTTTCCGGAACCGATCTCTCGTAGAGTTAATGTGAAGCTCATTTTACTCCCTCTAATATTTAATGTAGACTGCTTTAATACATACAGACAGTTCGAGACAATAGTCGGACTAACTCAGTGTATGCGCAGAGACCTCCTAATCGGAGGAACTTGCAGTTCATTATCATCCACCTCCTGTGGCCATCCATTGTCTCGTTTATGGTTCAAATATAGATCTTGAGCTTCAAATGGCGGAAGCCAATTATGACAAGCGCTGTGTCATACTGGGTATTAGCCTTCAATGCCTTACAATAGTGACTAATTCCACTATAAATTTCCCATTAAAGAATATTGCCTTAACGAAGAAAGCTATGTCATATACGCAGTTTTGAGACTATATGTTTCGATTAAAGTAAGAACTGCTACAGACGGACTCAGGTGGAACGCAGGCAGTGTGGAAAACTCATAGCAGGCCAAAGGAAAAGGGTAAACACCAAGATCTTTATAGAACCTATACATATAGATAGTTTTTTTTGCCAGTTTACCTAATGTTATTATATTCATCGAACCCTTTAAAGGGCTTTACCGAACGAAGATTCTCCGCCAATGTAATAAGACAAGATACGACATCGGGATCTGTGTCTCAATCGAGCTAATATATAGCCAGATATAACATAAAGTTACTCGCCCGTTATAATATAAATTAATAAATATAAAAAAGCTGTTCCTATACAACTAATAAAATTTGATTTGAATTAAATCATGCCAAAAGGGTTTGGATCACAGCCCAAGATAACCTGCTGTTATCCTGGGCTGATAATGAACGACGCTGTTAAATAAATAATAATATTTATAGAGAGCTTCAAATACCTAACTAATTTCTCCTTGCCTTGCATAAGTATTTGCAACAAAAGCACGTATAAAAAGCTTAAACCTTAACGATACCTTGTCAACGATGTGTAAATAATATATCTGTAAATTGGTAAATAGTCACACATCCGTTTATTGTGTTACTTACTCGTATCGAGGTTATGCCTGCATTAATAGCTAGATCTCATAATGCCTTCTGTACTCATCTGTATCCATCTATGGTTCCGTTAGTCCGGCGGCCCTGCGAGCGGCAGCCGAACGACCTTCAGAATACCCTAATATTCTCGTCGATAACATGTGTCCGATTGTTCAAGCCGCCTTACTAGACAGACTGGACATAACCAAGTTGCTTCTCGACAAGGGTCACCACATAGAAAAACCGCATCCACGACAATGTAAGCTTGTAATTAGCTTGACGTTTAACTATTTAGAACTAACGCACTGAAAATTAATATGCTAACTACTGCTTTTTATTTCATCCGCGCATTGCTATTGAGGTGTTGTGGATTATCCGTACGGTACGTCTTCTGCACACCTATGTTTTTCTCAAAGTAAGCTAAATTACGAAAAATTATAGAGAAATGCTAGGCCCTGTTGAAGTTTCACATGATTCAATGACCATACGTCGCGCACTGAGAATTTCCCATCATGCGGTATTGAACGTTTCAACTATAGGTAAGTGCGAGTTACGGTGTGCAAATGCAGATTATCATGAAGAGCTGTCCGAATCCCAAGTCGAGCTTAACTCGTTACGAGGACTCGCGTCTCCTACTTATCTGGTTCTCACGTCACCGGACCCAATATTGACAGCCTTTTACATGTCGCGTGACCTGAAGACCGAAGCAATAGAGCGGCCAGAGTTCCGCGAGGAATTGTTACAACTTTCTCAGCAATGTGAACATTTCGCAGCTGAACTGCTCGATCAGTGCCAAACATCCGAGGAGGTGATTAAGCCAAATACTAGCTACAACAACATACTATTTACACTATACTGTGCTTCAGCAGTTGACTGAATTACGAATATGACTGTAGTTGTTTGACAAGCCGACATCGATTGCGTTACTCATGTTCTGGTTTCAAGAAAGCGATCAATTTACTCTCGATGCATTTTAACCCAATAACCGATGCACTGTACGTCTGGCTACCGCCACATGTTGCATAATTTGCGCCATTGTTTTACAATTGTAGTCAAACGGATTGCACGGAAATCAAAGGATATCTTACGAAAACTATTTCGTTTGTAACCTGTACGAAGCGATAACTCTAAGAAAAACGCTTCTGACAATGACTTCAGGTACAAACAGTTCTATCACAAACTCAAGGTTTTCCGGATTCAAGGCCATTTCGTTTCCCTCGGCTCTATCTTGCCATTTTATTGCAACAGAAACAGTTTGTGGCCAGGCCAAACTGCCAACAAGTTCTGCACACATTGTGGATGTCCGGTATACCACAATGGTTAGTAACAAATTAAAGAGGAAACTCTGGGGTAGCACTAAATTATTCGACAATGTGTTGCTGTTTTCAATGAAATCTACATCCGCAATGCCAAAGTAGGCTTACAATTGAGCAAAGCGTACGTTTACAAAAAGCAAACATAAGCTGTACTCCGACTCTTTCTCTAATGAAGGTCCTTATGTTTTCCTAGTTATAAATCTATATCTTACTTTAAATCTATTGTTCAACCTCTTGTATGTTGTACACTATAGTTGTTTAATTCCATGCGTGCCATTCAGTTAGCTCGCATAGCTTTTACTCATTCTGTACTCCATGGCTTCACTGCAGCTATTGGTGCAGAAGTATGCCTAATGAATGTAAAATGCTAAAAAGTAGATTTTTGTTCGGGCCATTTTGTTCTACTTTCAGGTATTCCTGGTCATTCTATAGACGCTTTTTCCACATCTTCACGCAGGTGCTTTTTACCCCCCTTCTCTGTCTCACTTTTCTCATCTATCCTCGAGCTAAGCTTCTGCACGTATTCCGTGTACCCATGAATAAGTTTATCCACCATTTGACACTGTATCTGATCTTTCTATCGCTAATTCTCATCACGCTATTCTATGGTCGTCGAGACCAATTTCGGTTTCGCGCGCTCTGGAGTGAAGTTCTCGTAGGCATATTTGTCGTCGGCTACGTGTGGGAACTAATGCTCAGCATGTACACGTTGGGCTTTCGAATATTCATGCGCTCTCTATGGTCGGTTTACCAGCTGGTGATGTTCTTTCTCTTTCTGGTTGCGGAAATTCTTTACCTTGTTGTGTTTGCAACCTCCCGAACGATTCGCGACAACCTTCAACGTGAGCTTTGGCCATGGTATCACCCGTACCTCATTGGTGAGGCATTGTACGCAATTGCCACAGTGATGGCATTTTGTCGATTGCTTCAACTGTGTCAGTTAAGCAAAATTATCGGGCCACTGAGTATTTCGTTGAATCGGATGACTGGAGACATCTTCCGTTTTATGATCATCCTGCTTATCGTCTTCGTAGCTTTTTGCGCCGGGCTGAATTCAGTCTACAAGAACTACAACGGCAACGTACTTCGCATTCGGGGTATTCGAAATGTGACACAACCAGCGGCATTCGTCAGGTTAATAACTTTTTTCTAGTAAACTGTTACAACCCATGAGCTATTCATGCCTTTACCTTTGCGTGTTGTTCGGCCTATGTAAAACACAGTCAGATATCAGTAATGCTGTGCAACAACGTTCACTCCCTACGTGCTCACTAATCTCAGTTTAGAACTTCATAATCATAGGAAGACGTTTGCAATAAGGTAGCCATTAGAATCTGGTAAATTATATGGAGGGCTTAAAATTTGGATAAAACAATACTGTACAACGATTCAACACACTCTGTTTTTGTACACTGACAGCGTCGGTCATACTTTGAAGTCCCTGTTTTGGGGAATATACGCGATGGGTTCTCCGACAGACGCAGACCTAGTGGTTTCTCAAAACATCGGGAGTGCCGACCGTATCCTCAAGCACTACTTCACTGAAGCAGTCGGTTACGGACTTTGGGCACTGTTTCACATTCTGACAGTAATCGTATTACTCAACATGCTTATTGCCATGATGTCTGATAGCTTCCAGCGTATTCAGGTTTGTAATGTCCATAGACGTAGATTAGATGTATCTTTCTGTCTGTTGGTCGATCGATTGCTGTTTATATATATATATATATAAACAGCAATCGTCCTATTATCAACTTCTTTTCCAGGGACCTTGCTTCGTCTGTTATACGATAACATTTATCCACTTTTTCACCTTGACACTCGTCTCAATAAGATGTGCCTGTTGAGCATTTTAAAGTTTTCTGGCACGATTTTCATTCGGGGCATGTTAAATTTATTTATTTATTAAAGCAAACGAGATTTGAAAAGCGCAAAAGTGGAAAAAGGAATAAACTTGTAGCAAAAATCTTGAATTCATTACAAATCCTTTAATATTTCAGGAAAATGCGTATCAGGAGTGGATGTTTGCTAGGGCATCTCAATGGATCCAGTACTTTGATAATCATACGGCTATTCCAGCACCTTTCAATCTTTTGCCATCGGCCTACTGTATCAATCAGGCATACAAAATTGGGATGTCACTCTGGGAAAAGGTAGCTAACTTTTGTCATAAGTATATCAGTGCACAGGTATTTTTAAGAGTTAGCAACGATTATAGTAAGCGATTCATAATCGGGATAGTTCCAAACATTTAATTAAGATTAACCTACTCTATATGGTGTCAGACATTAGCTGATTTGAACAGCGTTCAAATAGAGTACATTGTCTGAAACTCACCTATTAATATCCGGTCGAATCCGATAAATGGACAATTCTTAGTATGCCTGTAATTCATCTGAAATGCAAAGCAGACGTTTCACCTTTTTTAGGAATGGCGACGAGCACGTGAACAGTGCTCTCCTGAGTGGGCTTGTTTTCCTGATTTTGAGCAGGCTAGAGAGCTTCAAAAGCGGTACCAACATAATTATCAAGTGAGTCGTTCTATATCAATTATTTTGATTACTCTTGAAGTATACTTACCTTATATGTTTCAAATACGATACATAAGAAAACCATGTAGATAGTTTTCATAATTAACACTGCTACACATTTAGAAATATCGGTAAATTGCTGCTCAATAACTAAATGGCATATTGAATATGAAATTTCTATGTTTGCTGCTATTTCTTCAATATTTTGACACGTTTCATAAAACTCACTGACGTTTCTTCTCGCCAAATACGTTTTTGTTTTTCAATGCGTTATGTTTTTTCTAACTGCCAACACCTAATAGGATAAGTACGATAGACCTTAAATTAATTTAGGTTTTTTTTTGTTTTTTTATATCCTTTCGTAGAGTCTTATCATCGTTCTTATTCGACGTTATCTCCAGTTACGTGAGCTCGAAGAACGGGATCACGCATTATCAAGAGTTCTGTCATCATTTCTTTCGACGCAGGATTATTCGTCCACCACACCCGGCCCACCTGGGGGCACGGGCAACAATTACAATTCGAATTACAATCGACGTGATTCATTTGGAGCTGGTCAACAGGTTAAACTGAGGCACCCTTCCAAACTGGCTTTTTTAGGGGCGGCATTCGCACACTAACATGAATCACATATGTGCGACTTTGTCAGTCATAAGTACTATGTACTAACATTCTGTGTGGATACGTTGGTAGAAAGTTCGAATAAACGAGTTTTAGTGAGTTAGACGTATCACCCATATTAAAGCAGAAAACTGTGACTGTGACCAACCATGACAGTAAACTGAAACGTTTGGTCTATTTAGCTACGTCCGGTACAACTATTGATAAACAGTGCCTCAGACAACCAACCATTTCAGTACAAAGTGAAAAATATCCGACTCTATACACCTGACACTAACTTTGAACCATTTCACGTTCTTACTGCACTGCTAGGACAACTAGCTAATAAAGCAAGACTCCCGACTGAGGAACATAATGAATCCAAGTATGAGACAAAACAAGCTGGCCTATATGCTCTTCGTCGGAATTACAACCCATAAAAGTTATCTAAAAAAATCCTACAGAACAGGAGATTTTTTGGCAACCTTGCCAAATATGATAATCGAGTGTTACCGCCTCTAGACACAAATGAAATGCACATATCTTACACGCAAGTCGTTTTATATTGTAAATAAGCGCCATAATTATTAGGTAATAATAGTTAATCCACAGGCAATACTTATTTTCTTTATATTATTGCTCCGAAGATTGATTATCAGTGGACGATATTTTTTTCGGTGCAAACATTTAACTGCAATAAAATTTACGACTATAGTAATATTATCAAGATCACGGACATCGTTAGCAAACTCGTTTATTTATACCTTCCTTACCTCATGACATCTATAAAAATAGGAACTGAAAAGAGCTGAACTTCAGCGGCGAAAAATTACAGCAAGATAATTTTAAGCTAGATAGTAACGATACAGATTTTCTCTTATTTTTTAGTTATAAATATGCAAGAGAACATTGCCAGACGACTGTATTAATAATATTCATTCTAATTTTAAATCGGTAGATGTAGTTTATGCTAACTCTGGAATAAAATTTGGAAGCAAGTCACAGAAGATTTATATGAAAACAGTCGATACAAACAGGTTAGGAGAGCTCGTGGATACCGGAAGATAACTCAATCTCAGGTTTTGCACATGAAAAATGGCTACTAAATATCACATCAAAAAACGTAATCTTGAAATCAATGCCGTCTTCGCTTTAGATATTATTTAGCTGTAGGAATTCGTCAGGTTTAAACTGAATAACTGTTGGACTACGCCCTGCTAGCAGACGGATATTTGGCTAGTACCTGCACTGAGAATATTTGCTGCTACGAGATACTAAAATAAAAAACAATCCAATATCTACTTGTTTAAAAAACTCATTCGGTCAGTGTTGTATATTTTCATTTCAAGTCCACCAGATTCGCCCGTGAAAGCCTAATATTTTTAGTTAGAACAAACTTTCGCCTGTTATACTAGTATAATTTTAGCGTTCTGTGGTGTTTAACGTAATTGCATTCGGTGTGAGATAAATCTGTAGAAATTCAGCCGTGTTGAACACTGAACGACACCCCTTCTCATATGATTATTCGAGCAGGGATGAAATGAAGCGTCCGAAATTTTTGTTGCTTGGCTGTGCTTTCTCCCTGAACATCATCAGGATCGGGAAGACTATTAGTTGCCAGCTAGAAATACTACCACAACGTAGGTACGGTCAAATATATCGTAGGTTAAATGACGTCAAAGGAGCATAAGTGCTTGCCATCAACGGAAAGGTCCCACAGTTTTCTTTTGCTGCTCGTTGGCCCCGAGAAGTATATAACAACGCAGGATAAGAGCGGCAGCAGAAATAACATCTTTCTGTATCTAGGTAAATCTCACACATATCTATGCAGCTGAGCACCACTGCACTCGTCATTTCATAGATAACAACTCTATCAGCACTTTACAAGTGGACCATTCCTGAATCAATATCATACTAAGTGTAGTTGAATACTTAGGTTAGAGCCGCGTATTTGGTATGTAATCTATGATGAATGTACTAACTCCACTAATTCAAGGATCCGTTGACTCTGTAGTTACCTTGTGAAAGACCTCAGAACAAAAGGAACTCGCGGGGTCTATATTGAGACAACATTTTTGTCCGCTTCTGTTTGTTGTTCTCTGCATAGGCAGAGACCAGAGAGTAAGAAGCGACATAAACTACCTTCTAAATGATGATTTTGCATGCTTTATTTTATGAAATTAGTAAAAACACTTCGAAAATACATCAATTTAGATTATTTATTTTTGTTAATTAGTCTTGTAGTCATCGTTTATTACATTGAGATTGTAAAACTAAGTAGCGCCTGAAGGATTCTTCGTTCCTTCGATTTTTTCATAGCACGCAGGTGCTGCAAGGAACCGTAGCATGTGTCGTAAATATCTCTTTTGACTAATTATGTTAAATAGAAGAAAGATTTTGCATAAAAAGCCTGAATTGTCTATATTGAAGCATGTCTACTCTTTCCCATTGCGGTTTAATATTTCAACAAAAAAACTCATTCCGAAATTTAGCAAACCATCTTTTTTTAGTCGGAAGTCACTGAACTGTTATGCAGAGGCGAATCAATACATTCTACTACTAATAGCAATTAATGCAAACTACAACATTGGCGGAACGAAGAATTTGAATATTCATAAGCTGTATTGGTAATTATTTCTATTCATTTAATTGACGGCTGCAGTTCGAGTAATTATTAATGGCCGTTAATATCTAATGATTATTAACACAGTCTATGTGATGTTCAACTAAACGTCCGCCCACTACGTAAAATCTACAGACCAGGGTTTACCACTCTGAGAATAAATGCCACGCTGCTATAATATCCCTATGTACACCAGACAGTACCTGAAACAAAAAAAAGGATCAATTTGGAATGTTCTCTTGCATAATTTCAACAAGTTGGAGGAGATTCGATTTAAAAATTTTTAACACGCTCGTACAATTAAGTCAACGACAAGTTTTGATAACCAAAAACTATTAGAAGTTTGTTGTAACCCATTATAGCAGAGCACCACAGTCACATGTCAGGTAGATATTACAAAATTCATAAAAAACGTAAAACACTGTATTACGTTTTGTTCTACATGTAAACAAATCATTTCTGTAGGCATAACAAATGAACTCCCAGGAAAATGGCCAAGTAACCAGAACCCACGAGCTGACCGTTTCTGCCATATTCTTTCTGACGTGGTCCCCCACGAGTCGCGACGTTCTCACGTTGCTACCGCATTTTCTTCAACGGGCCACGGCGTAAACATGTGACTTATTTTAATAACACCAATAGAACCTTGATTGGCATGCTCATTTATCGACAACGACAATCACTAGCTTACTACAAGTCGAAGTGGCAACTTTAGTATTACTTTAGTATATTATCTGAACTTTTCTTAATGAAGTCCTTGTGTTTAGACATGAATTATCAAAAGACCCGATAAACTTACAGAGCAAAACTCATGCACTCCTGCTCATGCATGCTTCAAACCTTTTTTTATTATTAACCGATCATTGTTTGTGCGTCTATCAGCCAAATTAAAAAAAAAAATGTTTACCTTTTTTCGTTTGAAAAGGCCGCTTAGGTAACACTTAGTCTTACTACCACGCTTCTTAGATGGACAATTGATATGTTTAGTCCACCAAACTAGAGAGAAACGATAAAATCGTTGCTACTAACCTCAGCCTCATGCTTAGCGTGCCCACGTTACATAGACACTGCGTAGACAACAAAAGGGATTGAAATCATTTGCTAGCCCTAGTCGTATAGCAAATGGCCGCATAGCGGCCGTCCAATCGGTATGGTCTAAGTTATTATTCCTACAGGTGCAGACGACAGTGATTTCGGCGCGAGATATGAAATCCGTGTGAAATTATTGGCGCGAGTATTGGTTGTAATATTAGTTGAAACTCTTTTTTTTGTGTTGATTTGTGTTAGGAAGACACCAACATTGCGCATAAGCCAAGATGTTTGGGTGCATCTACTTAGCGCCGATCTTTTCAACAATAGGTGCTAAACGAGAATGGTACCGCATTCATATCACAGCAAACAACTGAGTAATTTCAAAGTAAAATGACAAACAGTTGATTTTTAAAAACTGCTTCAACTTATATAAATAAAAGCAGATCGAACGGATCTATGTTTGCTTTTACTATCGAAATTTTTTTAGATTTCTAAGCTCATATCGTACGACCTCTTGCGTAGCTTTTTAAGACAATATCATTAACGGCAAGGACGGAAATCGTAGTTGAACCGTGGACTGGCAATTTTTATTACTTTCGAGTGCCTTTAGAACGGGTTTCGAACGAATTTTACGCTTGTTGCAGCAAGCCAAAACAATACGACACTAAGTTAAGGCAAATTTGTCTGGGTAAACTAAGCCTTTTAGTAGGCCCTAGGCAAAATAGTATTCTTTCTAAATGCTTGTCTGTAGCGCCATCTACAGGCAACCTCGAGAACTACTAACGCATCTAATAGGTTTGAACACGAGCGCGCATAGAACCTAAATATTTTTTTCTTATTAAGTTTTCTGACTAAAACAATCGCTGAAGTTACTTTGTCAACAGCACATCATAAGAATCATACGATGTAACTTTGTCAGACTGCACGAAAATAAAATTTTAAGAACAGGTCTAATAAGTCAAAAACTTAATGCAATGTAATGCCATACGTGATGGACGTTAACAGTGCATATTGTTAACTATATATTATAAAACTATACTATAATATGTAGATTTTGTTATATGAGTTTATCAGAGAATTCTATCTGATGCTTGATGATGATGACTTTCTGACAAACATATGTTGAAGTTGTAAGCGCGATCACGCATTACTTTTTAGGTGTAGCATAAAACTTGCTGAGAGGCACCCACCCGTCCGTTCTTTGCATGTAGACAATAATATCATTGCGTAAGTACATTGCGTAAAATCAATTGGTATTTATTTGGATCTCATATTCCTGTATTTACGCTGGATTAATTTCAGCTGATTCTACTGCTGTATCAAATTTCACAAAATTAAACAATGAGAGATCGTTTAAACCTGCTTCACCCGAGGGTACTTATTTACATATAGGAAAACACGCATCTGTTTTTCATCTATAGGACTGAACAAACTAAACTAGGTCGACCAAACATTTAACGTATTTGTAGCATCTCAGCAGCTTAAATTGCACTATTATTTCCAACGTTGTTTAGAGAAGGACGAGGCTCCTAAGCCGTTAGAAGGCGAACGGGAATGCGATTTTAGCTGCCAGCACAAGCAATGTCCCTGTAACGGCACAACGCTCTGTTTGCGTATTACAGTTCGTAAGTTAATTTGGATTTGCATCCGGGCGTAAATAGATACACTTTGTTTTGTGCTAGGTGTGTGCTATCAAAAGGAATAGTTAATGGTAGTACCAAAAGGGAGTCTAGAGATATTTAACCTGCGGCGAACAGAGCGTTTGCTTAGATACCAAAAATCGAAATTTGGGCTAAAGAGTTTATGTACAGACTTGAGTAAACATTGATAAATAAGGGTTATATTTGTGAATAAACTACTTAATTATTTATTAACTCATTTAAACAGAACATTTCGATCTACTAAAATTTAAGCTAACTAGAAAGCGTAATAAGACACGTTAACTGACATTCATCTATTTATGTTGATTTACGGGTTTTATAGCGTTGTTCTATGCTAGTTGTCTAGGAAAATTCAGTTCTTTATGTAAATAACCGTACTCTATAACGAAACGGCAATTTACATGACAAAAATATTACCGCAATGTGTGATCAATTGATAGCAGACTGAAACTTTAATACCATAATAGTAGAGTTCTAGAAAGAGCCGAAATGCAGATATTACTCTGTAGCTATTTTTATAAATATGCGCACAGTACATGAACAGTAATTCCGATGCCTCGCCGTTTTCGGCAATTTTCAGTTCAAGCATCATAGATATCGTGCAGAAAATAATAGTTGCGAAGTATTCCACAACATGTGAACGTAATTAAAGAGAATGACGTTAGAAGTTTTCTGGTTGAGGAAGCTATCCTCCCCGCCCTTGAGAAATTTTATACCACAACTTTTGGCCCAACCAGTGAATAACCAAATTTTTTATCCCTCACGCTTTGCTTATATACAGCGACTATCCCAGATTTTTATCTATAAGTTAGAGAGTTATCTAAGAGTTAGAGTTAGCATTCTAAACACGCACACTCCGCTTATAAAATGCAGATGCTCCGTGCAATTAGAATGTGATGACTTGGTCAAGGAGCAACCTTCTCCGCAAAAACTCGACATTTCTTATTAATGCCTCAGTTTTACAAAAGACTTTGTTCCTGAATGCAAATTCACTCGTAATTCATGTCAATTTCGAGCAAAAACACTCGTGAAAAGGCTAATATCCTTGAACCGCTAAATTCGATTCCAAATTTTTGCGCCTATTCCGTTAGCAGACGACGCCGGCATTATGTTTTGTAGGGGCACGTTGGAGACTTAGAGCGTTGTTCGTGCAGAGATAGTGTGTTATTCCTTCGCGCTATTTAACTTCTTGAACTTCATTTAAGAAGGTAAGCTTTCCATTGGCTTTCCCGTTTGTTTGTTAGTCCTAGTACAGTGTTTGCAATTAAGAAAATCCAAGTCCTGACAGTATTCATTCGATTGGCGACGAACGTGATCACAGCGTTATTATTTCTTAGACTATTCTTTGAATTATAGAGGGAGAGGTTCCTTGAGAGGCCGTGAATTGCGTCGACTAATTTATGTCATAGGTTTTCTAGCCTGTTGGAAATGTTAAAATTTTGATGAAACGTTCATGTACAGGTCTTCCGAAGGCACCAATGCTTTGATTTGGTCCTTGTTTTTGCTTGCTTACTGCTGCTTGGACACGCCGACAATGACGCTTGGTAGCCGTATCTTCTCGGCGGCAAATGATTGCTTGTGATAATGTTGCATTGTGGCCCTGACAACACAGCAGTAACTATTATTTCGGCTTGGCTCTCCCACAGTCATCGTTGTTTATAGCGAGATTGTCTGTTGATTTGGTATCATACATGTTCATATCTAGAAGCTTCTCTTTTAGCGTATTGTCAGTTTGCAATAAGATTTCCATATTAAGACTTCTCAGTAGGATGATATTTATATAATAATAAGAATATAGCTGGAAATATGGTTTTCGGCCAGCTTTCGGCGCACATCTTTGAGCTGATTAGTCATCATTTCGAGTAAGGGTAATCGGGCGGTCTCTAGGTGCTGATTGCGTTTATGGCCACGTTTCTTAGTGATATTCATACATCTTAGTGAATAGATATGCGTTTTAAGAGTAGAACTGTCGTATTAACGCTTTTGTGAATGTGGCGAAAGCACTCAAATTGTTCTTGATTCTTGCGGTTGGCGAGTATGGTATATGGGTCTGTCCATTGATGTCGTTAGCTTGCTTGCAACTTTTGTAGTGTATGAGTCTTTATCCAGGACTGGTACCAGTATCAGCCTAATCAAGGAGCCATGTATGGCGCCAAAATGTGAGGCCCAACCATTGGGTCTGGCGGGAACGGCGGAGCATTGGCGGGCTTCAGCTTTTTGACATGTGATAGTAAATCTGCACCGGTGGGTATCGGCATCGTTAACTTAAAACAACTGTAGAGTAGTACAGGGTTCACTGGGCTTTTACAGTTTTGAGTGATCCTAGTGGTAGCAGTTATCGTGCGTACAGTGTCTTTGGCATTGTCAATAAGTGACTAGTGTGAGTGTTCAGCAGAAATAGAAGAACGGATTTGAACAGTTGCAACGCATCATCTGTGCATGCAGGCAGTGTATATCATCGACCCATTATTGATGATTGCTGAAAATAACAAGTAGGAAGTAATTAGAAAGGCGTCACCATCCAGTACATTGTGACCGCCGCGCATAACAGCTGCTAAGAATAGATGATCGTTACTAAATGCGCGGTTTTTATTCTTATTTGTGCGTGTGTATGTATGCATACATATGTAATCTGTGCATTTAAATTTGTTTTTATAATAGATTCCACAGCGAATTCAATCACCGCAATGATTAGAGCTAAATACAGAAAGTGAGAAACATATTACATTAGATTTACAGGACTTCCCTTGAATTATATGAATGAATTACTGACCTCGCGTTATTATGTTAGTGCGAAAAACGGAACTTCCTCCAGCGCTGAATTCAATTTGAGCATTTACTATCTTATTTTTTTATATTTATGGTGTATTTCAGATGGCCACAGGAGAGGATGGTGTTCCTACCTTCAAGTGTGTTTTGGTTGGTGATGGTGGTACCGGAAAAACGACTTTCGTGAAGCGCCACCTGACTGGCGAATTCGAAAAGAAATATGTGGCCACGCTTGGCGTGGAAGTCCACCCTATCGTATTCCACACAAATCGTGGCGCGATTCGCTTCAACGTGTGGGACACCGCTGGTCAGGAAAAATTCGGAGGTCTTCGTGATGGCTACTACATACAGGCGCACTGCGCAATCATGATGTTCGACGTAACATCACGTATCACCTACAAGAACGTGCCGAATTGGCATCGAGATCTTGTGCGCGTATGCGAAAACATCCCGATCGTGCTGGTCGGTAACAAGGTCGATGTCAAGGATCGTAAAGTGAAGGCTAAGTCGATCGTATTCCATCGTAAGAAGAACCTTCAGTACTACGACATCTCGGCAAAGTCGAACTATAATTTTGAGAAACCGTTCCTGTGGCTTGCGCGCAAACTCATCGGGGATGCAAATCTCGAATTCGTCGCCATGCCGGCTCTCGCCCCGCCCGAGGTACAGATGGACCCGGAGTGGCAGTCGAAACTCGAAAACGATATGAAGGAGGCCCAGAACATCGTGCTTCCGGATGAGGAAGATGATGATCTGTAAACATCAATCTGTCGATATATCCAAGAACTATTATACATCGTCCCATCATCCTTATACCTGCTTTTATAGGGTATACATAACAATAATACACGAAATAGAAATACATGGGAAGAACTAACGAACGAAGCCGGTCGCTCGCGGTATAAAATGACTGCGAAACAGTTATTATTGATTATTGTAAAGTAACGACGTGGCTGTCGACATTACTCATCCACGAGGGGACCTTTCGATGCGAGCTGCCTGAGGCCAAAGCAAAGGATTGAGAAAGATGCACGTTAAGATACGTGATCAAGAGAAAGAGCGAACGATCCGAGCGGAGGACCGACCCGAAGATTCAATGGGGTCACAGACATATGGGGGTAATGGAAAGGGGTTTCAATGTATCTAGGGATCAAAAATTGTTAATAAATAAAGCAAAAAAAGCAAGGTTTTTTCAAGACGTTTCTGTTCGAGGACTCAATACAGTACAGAAATATGGAAGCGAACTTAGTAACCTACTGAATACACTGAAGAATCACGGTAATATTAACGTTTGCATGCTCAAACTAATCGACCGATCGTTGGTAGAGGCAGAAATAAATGGCGTGCAGTATATGGAAACGACTATTATTATTATGATTATTTTGAGGAAGTGATTGAGAAGAAGTGGACAAAGTATTTAGGGAGGTGTCAATTTTAACCGTCGCGAACTAAGTAATATTGATGGTGAATAATGATAATAAGTCAAGATGTACCACGAAACCTAAATAAATAGGGAGCTAATTCAATGGCCAGTTAATCAGTGTCCATTATAAAAAGGCAGGCATGCTAGGTAATAAATCACGATTGTCTATGCTTGGTAACTCGTCGAGTATTTCCTGGTATGCAAGTCTATTTTTAAAAGTAACGCTGCGTCTACTTCTGCTAGAATCTCTCGGAAATCGATAGTGGAAATTAATTTGCTGTGTAATTTAAGACATCTTTATTTGATAACTAAAAATATTGCTGAATGTGTTGGCAATGCAACCATACAGATAAGCATCATGACTGTTTTTTTAAGTTCTAAATGCTCTCCCTTTCCATATTTTGTTGGACAGAATCCTATTACAGGTCCATTTCAGGTGGATAGCAAAAAAAAGTCGAAATATAGAACACGACACATTGGATTATAACATACTAAGTAAGGAATCATTTCGAACAAATACATATTACGTCAGCCTATACTTAGCTGATTGGGGCTGCAATCTGATCGTTCTTGTCTTAAAAAGAACTTCTTAAATGTGCTTATTGGCCATACAATTAAAGAAATGTGCGTGTAGAAATACTCAGATCGGGAGTTAACGATCTTTGTTAAATGGAACATGCTTCAATAAAATGCAGATTCAAACCTTTGGCTGACAAATCAGTGTTGGGAATTGCGAGTTCAAACCCAGCCATTAGCATATGCTACACAACGTGTGTGATTAAATAAAGATATGCAGAACTGTTGCCGATCGTCTGTCATACATCGAACTATGTACTTCTCGTACCGAATAAGACGATGCCAGTTTAGATAAAATTAATATTAATAACCTGTATTAATGGATGGCAATCTGTTTTGACATTTGTTTGGTTTCACATCATGAATCTGAACCTGAATATGAGGGATCTAAACTTACTTATTAAATTATAATTAAATAGTTTTGTCTTCTATATTTTACATCTTTCCTGGGGTTTTTTCATGGAAATGTCTTTATTTTTAATCATAAAAACCAGCTGTACAGTATATTACACAGTTATCGATTGCTCGTTAGTGTGCCATCGGTTGGAAATGTGGCTTTGTTTATCCTATTTCAAACTTAATTAAATTTTGTAAAAGATAACCTTTAATATTCCATACTAAATATATATAGTTTTTCTTGAATTCAATTAATATGTACCTTTATTCTTGGATAAAAAGGATATACAAGGTAGAATGTTCTTGTCGGCTTTGTTAGTACTGGTACCGTTGCAGAGTACTACTGACAATTCGTGGCGCAACCGATTGTAAAACAATCAGATAAGAAACCTTCAAACATTCATTTTCGATGATTCTCGTAGCACCATGACATTGTTCTACGTAACATTCATTTTACACAATAAATAGAATCAAGCCATATTCGAATAATCGCTTTGGTCTCCTGTGTGTCGACAATAGTTTCCTTTAGAGTTCTACAGTTTTTTTGGCGTACTACTTTTATATATACTGAGAGTATATTTATCAAGTACAATACAGTACAAAGATAAGGCTTGAGTCAGGCATGTTCTTCTTTCGCTTTTTTCTTTTGGCTTACAAATCAAAATTGGTAAACTCAAGATCACTTTCTCGAATGTGTGGCAAGTGACAACCGGCTATTGGACACCGTGGGTACGTTATAGTACGAATGTAGGGTAGTATAGTTTCATAACAATAGAGGTGACGACATCTCTTATTACGGACCGGGTTTTTTATGGGGCCTTTAGTTAGCGGGTCAATGCGGCATTCCTCGGCTTCCACTATCTGAAAAAATAAATTGATTGCACAGGATATACGTCTTACATTCTCCAGATATCTGATAATGGATTACAATACTTGTTTTGTTTCTTTATCCTGTTCATATGTGCTATTGTATTTTCTTTATCCTGTTCATATGTGCTATTGTATTTTCTTTATCCTGTTCATATGTGCTATTGTATTTCACACCTTTCAATAAAACTTTGAGAAAGTGCCATCAAAATAACCGATTTACCTACTTTAACAACCACATTTATTTGATTTCTATCAGACCTGACAAAGTATCAACTGACAGTGATTTCGTTGCTTCAGCTTACCTCGACATCCCTGGTTCTTCGACTCCTGTTACTCTTTTTTTGTCCTCTGGACGTTCCCGCCTCCTCGATCGGTTCAGTGTAAACGTTCGAACGATTTATAATCTCCTGCAGTTGTGTTAGCTCGGGGAATGACTCTTCCTCGTAGTTCAGATTCTTCTCGTTGGCTGCCATTTGCTCTAACTGAGCTTTGAAGTCTCCGCCTGGAGCCTTAAAATAATAATAATAAAGTAATATGATCTCCTTGAACTAAGTTGAAAATAGAGTTTTTCACGTAATGATACGATCATTTAAAAATCATTACTATCACTTGTTATTAAGTCACTTAATTAGAACTTGCTGCAACTGTTCAAAAGGTAGTTGAGCTAAGTTCCAAATAGTGATAAATCAAAAGCAGTAAAAATGCTAAAAACTTCTTAGAGGCGTGGCATCTTTTTATGCAAATTTTTTTTATGTGCTTTGAGTGCTAATTTTAGTGGCACGAGCTAATATTCGGTCTCTATCTTACATTTAACATTGAAAAGCTGCTCAACGACCAACTATTTGGTCCCCATATACGGGTTCTATTGCAAAAATGCTACCTGAAGTGCAATATCTAGACGAGTTTTATATTTTTCGACTTTCCTTGAAACCCCGTATAGCATTTTCATTGCTTCCACCATGTCCGACCTGTACGCATCTGTCATTAGAGAGCTATAGTCCTGAAAAATAGTAGATCGAATAAGTATTCATACATCATAATATTTTAAATAGTTTCATAGATTTTTACTAAAAGTTATGCTGAATATTTTCACAAAGTCGATAACAATAAGTGAAAAAATTATACGTTTACTTATTACTCCTATAGGAAGTATACCTCTAAAATACATAGCTGCGTTTCTTCCAGAGGTATGTACTCTGTGACAAGTTATTCAGCCCAAGTTAACTTGCCTAAAACGTAAATCCATATGATTAGGCTAAAATTAAACGAAAACAGATATTTCTATCGACGAACATGACAATTGATTACCAGCTTCTATGTTCTCAACTCAATGTAATTAAATCGCTTATTTTATATTGGGGGTCGTCTTTTTTAGTCTAAACTATAATTCTCAACTCAAAGTAAGTAATTCGCTTACTTTATATTAGGGTCATCTTTTTTAGTCTAAACTATAATTCTCGAACTTATGCATAAATTACCTTCAAGATCCTGTCGATGTTGTTCAAGCTAACAATCAGTTTGTGCATGTCATCTTTGGTCCTCTGTAGTAGATCCTTGTTTTCTGTATGAAGGCTATTGATTGCACTTGTCGCACTCATTGAAACAAATAGTCAAGACTCTACAGAAAAATGGTGATTCTCAGGCTTGCCTACAGAGAGTCGAAGATTATGGCTACAATGTATGAGACTGAATGATAGCCCTCCTTAAAATGAGTTAGACTCTAGGTCCGCCTTTATATATACTTTATCTACAAATATCGCGTCAATGAACTTGACGCTTGCATCCATCGCACTCACTAGAACTGCGTGACAAAACTATAATAAGTGTCTTTAAAAACCAATTTAATAAGTGTAAAATCCTATATGTCACAGTTTTGCGTATTACTTTTCGTACTCCCATCAAGTATAGTGTATATATAAATAATATACATTCACTTTAGCTCAGCTGCGATTTAGACGGAAGCTCATTTCCATGCTACGTTTTGTGTTTTCAACTATTGGAACAAATTTTGTCTACTGCTTCAAAAACGGTTCATTCAGTTTGATTTTGTTCATATTGTCTCATTGGCGATTGGTTCTTTCGACAAGTCACTTTACCTTTTTACACACAATCAGTTTGAGTAATGTCATGCGCTTTCAAGATCCGTTTTGCCTTAGTACGCTATCTTTAGACAAAGTACTTTTCTCTGGCGCCCATACGCCCTGCACTCGCTTTAAGCAACAAACTATTTGTATTCTCCGCATTCGTTCCGCTCTTTAACTCCCAAATTCCGTCTAATAACAACATTGAACCTCATATCACGTCGATTTTGTATGGTAGTGTCGACATGTTGCTTGTCAGTTCGGTTTCAGAGGCCTTCTTGCACAGCTGTGTGTGGCAAAGTAGATACGTGAAACTGTGTGGAGTTTCTCGGGCGATAATGCGGTAGGATGGGGTCGACAGAAAACAATGCCAGCCCTGGCCCAATCGCCCTGAAATGGGTTCAACTGCTTGAGAAGGAGTTCGATAAGGTGCGTCACAACGTTGTGTGAATACGACACGGCTGTATTTTTTATAACTGTCTACCGCCCTCCTGTTATACTTGACTCACCCTCATGGCCTGTGTGCTCCTCCGTTTTTTATACGATTATCATGGTGCTCTGCCACGAAAGAATACTTTCATTACTGCCCGTAAAGCCAGTTAGGTGGTTCAACTGCGGACGTGTTTTCTGTTCGCCATGCTGAGCGCGCCTTTTTGATTTGACACGAGACTGATCACATGAAGTATTATCTAGTCGTAGTGCCTTACGCGTCAATCGCGCGCGCCCAACAACCACGTCGACATTCGAAATGGTTAAAAACACCTGAACCGTTCTTATACCTTTGAATGACCAATTAAGCTCTTGGCACGTTACAGGTTGTCCTAGTAGTGAATGGTCTAAAAGAGTACTAGCGGGTATTAGCTTTGGCAAACAAATATATATATATATATATATATAATAAAAAAAAAAAAAATAATATATATATATATATATATATATATAATGTTAGCTGTTAGTCGTATCGATCAATACGTTTAATCTCAGTTCAATGTCAATTTCAAGTTTGGTATATCCATATTGTCATTTTTGCTCGATACATATGCCGTTCTAAACAAGGTAAGTTAAAGTTGTTTTTTGTAGATGTTAAACATAATTGTCACGCGTGGACGCACGACCAAATTAATTAGAGTTCATAAAGGTTCATAGCCAAGTATTTCATGTAAAATCTTGCCTTCATTTTTTCAAAGCAAATACCGCTGTTGGAACGGAAATGCTACTTATTTAGTTACTAACTTTATTTCAATATCGTTATGGAATTTCGTAGTTGCTATATTGCAAATCCTGAAACATGGGTGTTTTATTTACAAATTCTTGTCTTTCAATGGTAATACCATTCAGTGTCTTTAAATAATACTACAGCTACCATATATACGGTTTTTGTACACATCTTTTTATTATCAAATAAATATTTATTTTACATATAGACCTGTTCTGCTTTAAACCTATATCAGTGCCAGACAAGAAGTTTGCTTTCATATCGCAAGTGATTTTTATATAAAGTTTAAGCGTATTCGAAAACGCTCGGTTAGGACGCGTAAAAACAACTAAAAGGTGGAAAAAAGTAAGTTTTAGTAGTGGTAAATTTCGACTTCTCGAAGTCACACGGTCCTTTGGCTTGTATATTTAAAGAGCAGCTATTTGACTTTAAGTTTTTCTATATCCATTATTATATAATTTCTACAACCCTGTTAAAAATACGTGTTTGCAGCAATCATTTAAACGTTCATCTTATAACTGAAATTTGCTGTGTAGACAAAGTAGGCATACGCGCTGTTCGGTGTTAGAGATAAGAACTTGTGTTTAGATAATGGTTTGTTAATGGGTAATTAGATCGACCTGTATGAGGTATGTAATTAACAACAAAAAAAATTAAGACCGAAATAATTATGTTAACTAATATTAACCAATGTTGAGTTTGCTGCTAAAACTAAATAGTGTAGTCAGTTAATTCCGTAGAGCGAGAGTTGGAAGGACAACTGCATTGTTGAAGGGTCTAAGAAATTAATCTATTATGAACATACTATCACTGCTGTGTCTACTATTTGAACTTATGCACGTTACTTTTTATGTGGAAAAGCGAAGAACTGGTATATTATAGTGCAGCGTTCTTGTAAGACCGACTTTTTTCTTACATTCATGATGAATAATTAGTACTGAACCCCACCTTGCATTTGTCCGCAAAGCTACTCTCGATTTCTGTGGCGCTGTGCCGTCAAGCATCACTATGCTGGGAGAGAAACACTTTGATCAATAAGACTTCTTTTACTTTGATATGTAACTACGGAATTACACTGAAGACCTTGAGAGCTAACTAAAATTTGCTAAATTGAGTGTAGAATGTTTGAAACATCGCCGTTGAACTACACTTTAAGCCCGCTGTCTGCCTTAAGCTTCATGTAATATTAAATCAGAATAATTGATCGAAGTGTCTAGCAATGTATTTACAATTTACGTGCGCTTCAGTTTCGTTGTCGAGTCTTTCCTCAAGTGTTGAACTTGAACCACATCTTAGAGGCTTTCACACTAGACTGGACTGGCACAGCACACAATTTTTGTAATATGATCCAGACAGTATACAGGAAACAATACATGAAATGTCATTAGACAAAATTCAATAATACCCCTTTTGTAAATAGCCTGGAAATCATTTAAGCAGAGTACGCGTTTCCCGCTGTTTCCAGTTTGCTTTTATTTCAAAATGAATTGTGCTCCTTTTTAGGCTTAAACGGATTCATGTAAAAAATGGCGAGATAAACAATCCAGCAAACTACTGATGGACCTCAACTCGAACGTTTGGATTTAATGTATAATAATTTGATTAGACCAGTAAAATAAACAGGAATACCGTTCATTCTTCACACGTAGATTTTACCCGTTTGGAAGCAAATGTTGGAACTCGCGCTACGAGCATTTTTACTTAGATCCTCATTTGTCAGGTCGTTCTGGTAAAAAAGCGCAAAAAAAATGATGTCCCTGGAGGGATTTTGTTTGTTGTAATGGTCATGTTCAGGAACAATGCTACGAATCCGCTGCATACGTTATCCTCACCTCGCTGATCTTTGTATTAAAAACAGGTTAGTGTAGACTGTTGTAATGCTACGTGTTTCGTTGTTGCCGTGTTATGTTTGCAGGTTTACATCGAGTTGGACTCGATGCTTGGCGACCTAGAGGAAAAACATCAGCCGTTGTGCTATCAGGGAAGGGAACGGCTATCTGCAATGTGTGCTGCCTTTGGCCAGCTAGTGCACAAAGCGCTCGCCGTCGGCGAGCTAAATGTGAAACTACAGGTATTACCATCTAGCAACGCACGTATGCGTAACGATAGCCTTTTCCGCGCTTTATATAATCTATACTCGCTTAGTATAACGATATTTTTTTCGTAATATCTGAAGCAATTTCTAATAAAGCTTATTTATGAGGGCTGTAGACAAGAAGCTAAACCGTTATGGTTAAGTTCTACTATAAGTTCTACTAAGTATACTTAATTACGCTAGAAAATGACTGCCTACGAAGTCCTTATTGTCTCGTCGTTTTTTGCTGCGGAGCTTGATCGAAAGTAAGTGCTTTCAATTGCTTGGCCATTTAAGATCACTGCTTTTTTAGTAGCGTACTGTTTTTTGAGTGCAACGTAGTTCACGAGCTGGTGATCAGTAAGGAATATCAGTTGAGCAAGTCATGATTGTGACTATTAAAGAAGTACTCAATAGAGATTTGGATTTATGGTGTTTATTTATTAAATATATACTACAACACTGGTACTAAGAATTGTTCACTGTAAATATAAAGGAAGTTGTTTTATTTCCATTTCTTAGTTTTGCATAAGAAAAATGTTGCTATCTATTATCTTTTCTAATTATAAGTAAATTTTGATTACGATAACAAAAAAAGTTTCTCCTAAGCGTTGTTTTATTATGATGATGAACTTGGAAGCAATATTGTTCATATTTAGGATTGAGTCAAAGTTTTTTTTTAATGAAGCTTATTGAGATCTCCGGAATCTATACAAGTCCTTGTTAAACCTATGTTTGCTGTTTCTGGCTACCTTTGTTACTACTATAATAACTTATCCAACCAACGCCCCTTTTGAGTCTCGCCGCTTTCTCCGCTACGATGTATCACCACCATCCATTTCGAACTTGCCCTTTTCAAACAGACTCAGTAGTTTGTGATATTCAGATTTCCGAGTGGCCGTATGTTTTAGCACATATTGTACCAGATATCCTCCCAGCGTCATTTTAATACTCACAGGACTTCTGCTGTTGCCGTGGCCAGCCGTTGGTTCAGCCATCGACTAGATGAATCGCAGAACACCCATAGGGCGTTGATTAAAATCAGCCTTGGGGTCCTCGGTCTGTGGCATGTTGTGGAGCTCATGCAGCTCCCGGTTGGCCTCGCCAGAGGCACTGGGCGCGTCTAAGGGTGCGGGGCGCGAAGACCTACGAAACCAACATTACAAAATAACTATTGATTATGGGTCGTTGTCTAAAAATACTGGAATGTCGTGGAGTTGTGTGTTTGACTCATACCAATCATTTGGCCCAAAGTTTGATCGGTAAAGTGCTTTGTTTATGTAGACGGCGTCCTTATATCAACTTGTCAGTTGACATAACATCTTTGTATGAGGTATTCAGTGGACTCGTACCTATCGCCTACATTTTGCAAGTAAGAATGATATTTATTTAGCAACAGGAGCTAGAAGAAGACTGTAACGAAAGCTTGTTCATAACAACAAAGATAAAGTGCTCTTACACTAGATACGGAGGCCGGCTGTCTCTGCTCTCTCACTAAAGTCGTTTGTTGTGGTACCTAGAGCCATACTCAAGCGATTTGCTGCCAGGTCCGAAGTGTCCTTCGAAGGTCCCGCCGTTGAGGTTGTGCATCTGAAGTGTCGCGCTATGTGACTGCCCACCATTGCCACCTCCGCTAGCTCCATTCTGTTGAGTGAGAACACCATCCACGTATTCTCTAAGTTGACTCAGTCTTTTTTCGAACGTTGCAGTGATGTCCGAAGATGTGTTCCGTAGTGCAGCTAGTAACTCAGCCTGTTGTAGAGCCACACTTGAAGATGTTTCACTGTGCTGGCGATCGGCCTAAATACAATGTTTGTTTATACACACAAGAGCGTTAATCATACGAAGCTCGGATGCTTTGCTGGCAAATAGTAAATTAGATTTGGTTTCGTGTATACGTCAGGTTACCAGCAAAGTTATAGTGCAAAAAATGACAAGCGCCAGTAGCCAAAAATTCCTCGTAATACATAAGTCAAAATACTTACTTGCAAGGAGCAAGACTCGGAGAGTTTGCTCTGTGACTCCTGAAGGACCTTGAATGCCTGAGCCACATTTTGGTAAAGGTTTTGGAGTTTTTGTTCAAACGTGCGTCCAACCACTGACAAAGCTTCACCCATATCTCTGATGGTTAAATAAGGAAGTAACAAAAAAGTTTATACTTAATGTTCATGGCGAAAATTTTCAGTAATTTAATGTATGTGATAAATAACTATGATATGTAGGGTTGTATTTAGACATAGTGTCAGAGAACTCTTTCAAGAAGTGGTAAACCCTAACCTGTTTTGCTGTTCAGAACTGCTTAGAATCAATTCGAGATCGTGTCGAAGTTTTTGGAGCTCGTCCTTGAACGATTCCGCGCTCTTGTCTAGACACCTGTGTTCTCCCTTTGAGTAATATAGTTCTCTATTAGCTAGAGTATATATATTCGCGCATAGCATAAATATGATAATAAATTTCATGGGGCCATTTTTTTACTAAAGGTTAGATCGTGTTTCGATTTCATTCACAGTAAATTAAATGTTGTAAGTTTAACCGAGTGGTCAGCCTTGAATACTTACATCGATACGCAAGGTGCCGTTAATTAAACCTTCTCGTACTTCATTTATAGCTGCGGTCATTTTTGTCATATGGGTCCGGAAACGCTCTTCGAGCTCGGAGGTCACGTTAGATACTTCGCACTTGGCTTTGTTTACAATTGTTTCATTAATAATTCTGCAGAAAGTGTGAAGTAAACAGGGGCTTGTTAAATAGTTGTCAGGAAAAAACTATACTTTTAGAGCTGAAAGATCTGGTGAAACAAACTCGGTAAAATAAAACACAGTTTACTTTCACTTGACAAAACGCGCAACCAAGCTCAACAGCTTAGTCAAGTAGAATTTCCTACCTTAGTCGTAATGTAAAATTTCTCAACTTTCTAGAGGTAATTTTTAGTTACCTGTCAAGCCGCGTGTAAATTCCCTCAATGATAGCGTAGTCAGGTTCCGAGTCTGGACTTTGCTGCTGTAACCTCATTTTTCGCCCCTCGCCGAATGAGTCCATTAGCATCTTCCCCATAGAGCGTACCAGGTTCTCAACAACTTCCATCTTCTGCAGAGATCTGCATATTGCAATTTAATAATTTATGCCGAAAATAACCAACAAGCATCTGTACCAATGGTGCTAATCATGTCTTGAGGACGTCGTTAATCATTACATACATTACTAAACGTCAAAATATATGATTTACAGTAGACTTAGAAAGTTTTAATGGTTCTTAATCTCGAACAACGAACATTAAAAATAATTTACTATTAACCTTTGATATTCGGTGTCTCTTTTGGAATCCTGCTTGACAACTCGTCCCATGAGATCCTCAAACTGTTTGTCATAACCATGGCTTAGCATATCTAGCTTCGTCCAGGATCGTTCAAGCTTGGCGTCAATTTTGCCATCAATTGTCGATAGCTTAGTCGAGAGTTTCTCGTTGATTACGTCCAACTTCGTATTCAGTTGTGTGGACTGGTCTTGCTGAAATCTCAAAATTCGATGTATATATTTGGCGCCACGGTCCCGTTACGTTCAAGCTTGATTGCATTTTAGTGTAATGTGTGGCCCCTAATCTTTTTATCATTCTTCATTTGAGGTATATATACCATATGAGAAAGAGCTGTAGTACTAAGGACATATGTACATATTACCAAAGAAAATATTTCGATTAACATTCTACTTTAGTTGAACAAACTACTGCAGTTGAAATTCGACATCGAGAAAATGTCCCGAAGCTCTTTATTACATAGATGATTCTTGAATCGTTAAAAATGTTGCAAGATCTCAAGGTTAGTCAATTTCTCGATGGGACGGCTCAATTCGAGAATTGAAATAGATTAAACTGTACCTGTTTAGCGATTCGCTGCACGTCTGTTGTAGCTTCAAGACGGGCCAGCTTCTGCTCTATACTCTCTAATCTTCTTCCCAGCTGTTGAGTGATGTACTCCACCGACGTTTGGAATTTCGATATAGACAGGTCCAACGTTTTGAGTTTGTCCTCCAAATCCGCAGTACGATCGATTACCGGCTAAGATAAAAACACCAAAACTGTAAACGGGTCCCCTGTGCAAAATTATAGTGTCGTTTAAGACTCGCTCGTGCCTTGTAGAATGCTCGTATGATAAGAACGCTCACTTTGTTCCTACTATTAACGCAAGCCTTTTCGGTTATCATTTGATAATTATCGTCGTTTCAAAGCTATCACTGCTAGGATTGCTTCTAATACATGGGTTGGTTTGGTGCATAATTTTAAAGGCACCGAATCATCGGTAAAGAAAGCCGTTTAGAATGACTACGCTGATTCATTTATCAGAAGTGTCCAGTTCTCTACAAAGGTATGTTATTAGTTATGTACAATAGATATTTTCTAAAGAAATAATTTCTCCACTGATCTCAATTGGTATTCTCAAACGTTGCTTTAGAACTGTCTAAGCATCTATAGTTACGATGATATGGGAGACTTAAACAAGCTTCATGGTTACAGCCTTATTTGCGTTACTTTGCCTATTTCAATGCTTGCATACAGCTGTAAAAAAAGCCGCTACAATCTGACAGCCATTAGAAGCTTTCCTGGAGTAAAAACAAAGTGAATAACAATAACCCGGTTCAATACGTACTACTCTAAGTACCAGTACTGGTAGTAGTTAACAAAACATAACTATCTTTTCAGACTCTTCTATAAAGATACATATACATACATCTATGTAGGCGTCAAAAAATAAATCAGGCACAGCCATCCCTCCATTGCAGCTACACCTCCGATATTGTACATTTACTTTATTCATTGTTACAGGGCAATATTTTTCGATTTTATCATTGTGGCGATCTCTAATGGGGTCGGTAGACATTGCGACTTAGGGTGTGTGTGTGTTTATTCAGATCTTGTCTGTTATCAATTGCTAATTAATGCGCCGCATCCTCATTGGCTAATCTGTCCTCATGTAGCACTCTGCTACCATACGGCAGGATGCAATCAATGGGTAACAAAAAATAGGCAGAACACATAAAAGGCTGCAAATAGCTCAACAGAGGAAACGATATATTCTGTCCCTTGTGTTCTCAGTCGCTTGTTCGTATTCCATATCTGTTTCTGTTTCTAAAATTATATTAGCCTGACCTGCGAGATACCTTCACCAACGATTGCATTTGCAGGGTATAGGTTTGTAGAGGTACGTGAAGTCACGTCAAATATCAAGCATACTGTGATACCATGATTCGTAATGTGTTCGTATAATAATGATAATAAATAAAAAAAAACAATTTTCAATGTAGCGGGTTAACTGCTACAGGCGGTAGGATAATATAAGCCACTAACCACGAAATAGAATGAATACTTGTCATTAGGTCGTATATGACAAGAAAGGATCATAAAATGATAGAAGTTTGGGCTCGAAGTGATACCTTATAATCTAGGTTCTTAGTTGTTGTTATTTGTGTTATTGTTAGTATACCTATACAGGTTGTGCATTGTGTACTGCCTAGTACACAATGCACGACCTGACATTAAGATCGATAATATGACGTCAGGCAGAGTCCGTGTTAGACGGTTATAAAAGATTAGATATCCTGTAGCGCAAGCCTGAGCAGTCCTTAGTTGTAATTAATTTAGCTTAGGTTCTCAACGTTTGCAAAAGAATGCATTTTTCGGGAACATTTTAATAGTAGTATAAGTAACGTTTACAAACAAATACGATTTGAGTAGGGATGCATTATTTACACAGGTGTTATGTTAAAGATCTTTGTCGTTAGAATAGCTAAGAACTATTTAGGATTAATAGCTAATAGGTCATACCCTACTAATAGTACGGTATGACCTATTAGCTGATTTTCTTACATACCGCATTTTTAAATAATAACTATTATAATAATGGAGAAACAACGGGTCGAAAGGATCACTTACAAAAGTGGACACCTCTTGCCTGGGGTACGCTGCAGCCTTGAACTGAGCTGATGCCGGAGGTCCGTCTTCTTCATCGGGGGTGGTGGACTTTGCTCCGTGCGAAAGACGTGAGTTGAAATTGAACGCTTCTACTACGGATGTTGAACCTGCCAGAAGTGCCCAACAGCCCACAAAAAATATTGCCGATAGGGTTGAACGTCGTGTCATAATGGTTTTACACGATATCCGATGGAGCTCGATGCGGTATTGACTTCTGGGGAAACTATCTGCCGCTTGCGGCTTGATCTGGCTGACGTACGTAAGGTTAGCCAGGCACTGGAACAGCTAGCTTAGTTGCTTGCAAATGGGTATTGTCTGACCAAAGCTGTTTTCACGTAACGGGCTGACCATCAACCTATAAGACAGCGCTCGTACTAATCTCCAGTTGGTGGCGAGAGCAACCAGACCAATGCGGTAACGCAACAATCGGGCAGTGGTGACGCGGTCACAAGGTGTTAAATCCCTCTTCGCTATTTCGCATAAAAAAGCACGTAGAGCTGCGACAAGACCTCTACTGGAGATCCGAATGCTGCAGCTGATGGTTGTCGTGCTGATAGTACGTTTCCTCGGGCAAACCCATTTGTTCCCTGTCAAGTGGGTCAGGCTGCCAGCAGGTTTGTCGAGAAGAGCATGTCCACCCCACCGAGTGAAGGCGCTGATTGAGCTGCTGACATCAAGGACCATCGTTGACTCTTTAAACCATGGGCTACACAAATGATAAAAGGAGAAATATAGATTCCTGTTTGATAACAAGATAGCTTGCTGACAGAAATAGTCACACTGGCAATAGCAGTAGCGACAATGCCGGGCAATTCACGACTGGCTTGAACAAAGCGTTGAGAGCGTTAAACGAGTCAAGCGACAACACTGGACACGCGACGTAAAGCAAAGTGGTGGTACGCCTAGTGGTGTGGTCAATCCACAATTAGTTGGAACAAAGGGACATGATCCGACATAGGCTAGACAACGAAGCTCATACTGCTTGTATGGCTCAGTTCAGCTCCGCAATGTAACGCTATTGTTAGAACGGAGTAGTGGCGTACCGTTCGTAGATGTGAAGGTTGATGATGACCACGATAAGTGGCGGTGATGATACTGGTCAAATGTTGACGATGACCGATAACGTTTAGGGATTGTGATGCCTGCCGTATACGTTACCAATGAGGGTACGATGCATTGGCAGATAGACTCTCGATGATGGATACAAACAATCGAGTAACAACGGTTAGTCACACTCCTTTATTTTTTGATGACTTATTAATGCGATTGATGCACAAAACTGTGCTAAAGTAAGACCATTCGTGCGCTTCAAGAGTCGTATTTACTTCGTAGGCGATGTCACTTAGTGTGATCATTTTGTAATTTACAATATTTATTGTTAGATTCTTATCATTAACGCTATTGATTTGATATTTCGGATGTCGTAAGAAATCCTAGATAACTAGTGATTAACTTGGTTTTTGTTTTATTCATCTTTCTTTCTTCCATTACAGGCCCAACTAGATGAGACAAAGGGGCTGCTCTATTCCGCGGAGTCCGCTCGAGTTGTCGCGGATAAGGAGGCACGGGCGCTGCTCGCACGGCTTCAGGCTGCACAGCTTGAAGCATCCCGGCAGAGGAGGGTGTCCTCGGACGGTGATGCTCAGGCCATCCAGGCTAAGCTGGAAGAGGATCTCAAACAGGTGCTGGAGGAGGTTGGCCAGGACGCACGTCAGAGAGCAGAATTGGTATTTCTGCGAGCGGAAAATGATCGATTGCGAAAGATTCTAGCCAATAACGAGAGTGAACTTGTAGGCGCAAAGCTTGCCGCGAAATATCTCGACAAGGAGTTGGCCGGCAGGTGTGTACCGTGTAGTCCAAGTACTGCTTTTTGGGGCCACAATCATGTCTTCCCTTTGACACTTAATTAGGGAAAACGGTAATAACAATTCGGTTTTTGTTTTTGATGACGGAAGAATATCTGTAAGTACAGTGGCAGAAGTTCTTAATGAGTGATCATAATGGACCGCAGGTCCTAATGAACTGCACTATAGTTCGGTCACAGATGTTGAAAGCTTTCTAACCTTGAGATATCCTTTCAATTATCCGTACTCTAACTCAAAACATTTTACACAACCAATCAAACTGCAGAATTCAACAAATACAACTGCTTAATGGTAATTTAAAGCCAGCCGAGCAGGACCGTCTCTGGAGTCAACTTCAATCGGAAATCCGTCTTCATCGACACAAGATGGTGATTCGTGCATGCAGGTAACAATGTCTTACCTTGTGCAATCCATCACTATTTGCCCGCCTATATACGTGATTTACTGTGCACATTAAGGACACAAACATGTCTGACATCAGTTTCTGTGGGCTTCAGGGCTCGACTAAACCGGCTGGCGTTAGAAGAGGAACGTGCTCGAGCAGCCAGGATGCCTCCATCAGGGGAAGTTCGCAGAGTTGTAATCTACAAAGCACATAATGAGGGACTCGGCATTTCAATTACCGTAAATATACTGAATAGAAGTTCACTGTTGTTGCAAAGCACTATACGGACTATAGTCTATCTGTAAGCCATGAGTAGTAAACTATACACCAAAGTCATTTTTTAATTCATTCAATACGAACGTATGCATATGTCATCATGCAAGGAAGCAATACAGGGTCCTCTCAATACAAAAACTTATCTAAATTAGCCTCAATAAGAAGCATTCTTTTTGGTCCTTACTTTAGGGTGGAAGGGAACACAGAGTCCCGATCGTTGTGAGTGAAGTTCACCCTCATATGGCTGCGTGGCGTTCCGGTCAACTTTTTGTAGGAGACGCAGTTTTAGCGGTTAACGACATTGATATTCGCCAGTGCCTACACGACGAGGCTGTTGAGATATTGAGCCGTCAGGAAGGTAGCGTCGAGCTCGATTTACTCTGGATAGATGAACATGCTGACAAGACCACGCAAGAACAAGAAGCTCGAACCGAAGCGCACGATGCCATGATGAAGTAATGCACCTTTTATTATATTGATTTTAGGAAAAACAGTCATAAATCAGTAGGCTGAGTAAACGCATTGCGTACACTGCAGACTTATGGATAAAAGCAGTCAGCTTAGTTTTTTTATTTCTGTTACATAGGTATCAAATGTAGGCAGATTGCTGGAAAAAGATAATGTTCCAGAGACTAATTATTTTGAAATTATGCTGATGTCTGCTAATATGTGTATATACCTGTTGATTTTGTTGTGGACGTGTACAAGTAAACGTAACATTGTCTATATCCTAAATGTATATTTTATTTCAAAGCCTTATGGTATAGTTATTCAATTCTTGAAATTACGTTTGATTGGTTACACAATAATCAGCTTAAAATATTGTTCATTTAAAAAATTATTAAATAAGGGCCCTACTTTTTCCCAGGTACCATTTTTTCTTGCCAAAGGATCTGGCTGGAGGCGATGCCGCTGAAGTACTTGAAGAAAACGGGTAAGTTAAATCTATCGGACGGTTCAGAGAAACGAACTTGGTCATTCATATCTCAGCAGTTCAGTGAAATAGTCCGTAAACAAGATAGTTCCCTATGATATAAAAACACCTTAGTGAAGCAAACATGTAAGCTTTGTGATATTTGGGCAGGTCAATCGCTTCACAGGAAACCAAATCTTCGTCACCTAAAACCGACGTGTCGGTGAAGGGCAGTGATTCAGGTTCCCTCGACTGAGTGAGATCTACTGCAGCCGATTGGAGGAAGAGATCAAGAGAAGCAGGTGTTGATGTTATGGCGATGGCGCTTATTATGATTTGGACACTATTGCGACCAAAAGGAAGTGTGGACGAAACTGAAACAGAATGACTCGCATACACAACGCTCTTGTTGTGGCATATATTGCACCACAGAAATGTCGTGTATTCATTACTGCTACTATATGATTATTATCACTATTATTGCTGATTATTAGTAGTATTAATTTTGCCCTTACCGCATACCCATAACCGCCCTGGTCTCACTGTATCGAAATAATTGTATCGGCCTTCAGACGGTCAAGGCTTGATTATATGTGGGCACTACCTATCCGTGTTCTTAATCATGCTGTCTTGACTAGCGCAGTATACAGAAGACAAGGAGCTTATTGGTTGTGTGGTAATTTTCCACTGAAATAGTCGCTCCAAATCCACAGTTCGAATCCTTTCGGACTTATGTAGTGAACTAATGTAAAATTAGTTCTACAACTAGAGGACTAGTTCGCTTTACTTAATTATATTTTCATTGTTCGTTCCACTCCGCCGCTTTATGGTGTTGAGTACGGTTGGTTCGTTAGCGTGCGTACTATCGAACTGTCCGCTGCAACCGGAAACCGATTAACGTATGTGCCGGCACGGCGCGTCTCTGGAGCATTATAGTCCGATATATATAGAACAGTTCTTGTGAAATATCGTAATGGCGTCGGGTATGATTGAATATAGTACTATCAAATTGACTGAAAGCAATCTACACAGCAGAAAAATAGGTGACGCAGCGTGTGGCGAGACATGCCGAATCATGGAAAGTTTGGAATGCATACGAAGTTGAAGGTCAAACACGATGTCACTGCACTTGAAGATGGTTTCTTCCAAAAAAGAGCTTTCGATGAGTCGGGATGGCCTCAGCAATGGTGACGGTCGAACTAGAGTCTGCTACGCGCAAAACAAAATAACTGTATGTTTTTTTGTCCAACAACAAAAAATGCACAGTTATTTGTGTACATAGAGGTTGGTTGGTGTCGCCTATTGAAGTGAAAATCATCCTTTGGGATGTAACTGTAAATAAAGAGAAATGTTGGTGATTGCCAGTTGAGTGCGTATTGTTAAATGAGTAAGCCTTATGGCACAGTGAACATTTAGAGGAACTTTTTAATTCATAGGCACTCGTAAATAGCATGGCAATATACACGTTATTTTGAACAAGGAAGCATGCACCCATAAGCTTGATCTAAAACATAGAGGGTTATGACCTGGCTTCCATAGCAGGTTTGATTACCAGCAAAAACAGCTATTCCAGCTTCAGCTTACGAAATACGAAGGGTGAGTTTTAGCCAGGCTTAGTAACCTTCGACCTAAAAATTTCTACGTTTATTATTCCAGCTTATCATATGTACCACCCGTGGCCCGAACGAGCTAGTTTTATTAATGTGAAGAGAAATGTCAGTTCGTGCATGGAGAAAAGCCTAGGACTGCTTTGAAAATCATCGAACTTAATGATCGAACGAGTATCGTTTAAGATAGTGGTATCGTTAAAGTAGAGAGGATCCGAAATATCTTTATACCATCTTCATACGTGAAAGAGATATAGTAAACACTTTAATGGGCTTTTGCTGTTAGCAAAAAAAAATGTATCTGCGCCGAAAGCGAATCTTTTGGTTGGCAAAATAATTTAAACATTTTTTCTCGACTACTACTGTACCTCTTTTTATTGACTGATGTCTAGGTAATGTGTGAAGTTAGGCTTCACTTTTTTAGGAACTATATTCGCATACTTAAAACGAAAACACAAACAATATATAGCCGAAGGAAAAATTGCACATAGTTCATAATGATTTATTCGCTCTTAGACTTCGCCTGGTTCCCTACTTTCATCACTGGCCACAATTTTCTACCTTCTTCTCTGCGGAACAATTTTGATTAGTCTGTCTCGCCTCGTATCCATTTTTCAATTTTCTTATATTGATTGGTCAGCTTCTCGCGTGTTCTTTCATCATTAATGGTTTACTGTTTATCGAGTAATAACAAGCACACATGCCACAACACCGCTTATAATGTACACAACGCTCTTTTTCCAAGTCTGTTGCCGATATTTTCACGATTTCCGGCTGGCTGGACAGCGTACAACAGGTTACAATCCATTGCAGGTCGTCTTCACCTTCTACGATTTTGTGTGCCTACGGTGGTCAACCCAATTGCTTTCTGCACCGTTTTGAATGATTACCGTTGAAATCATCTCTGCTATTACTACTTGAATCCATGAATTGGATCCGACGATTACTCCCTTCTCAGTAATGGACGTACATACACGTAGTTGAGCCTTCGTAGCGTCGATGAATTTAGGCTCGTGTCGAACAGTTCACGCTTCCATATTACGGACATACATCAATTGTTGTCTTCTATCGGTTATACTTTAGGCCCAGTCATAATGGCCTTTCCAATTGAAAATATTAATCATTCTGTTTTGTCCATATGGGTTTTGAGAGTATCGTTCTGTATTGGACTCGTCCTTAAGGCTGATACCTACGTAGAACCTAATTTTATACGAAATCTCCCTGTTCGTCCGGAACAAGATGTAATGCGTCCCTTAATTTTCTATTACGTTCTCTTTCCTTCCACCCCAAATATTTTCGTAATTATTTTTTTTTTCACTATAGATATATACAATTGTGAGTCAACAATACTTGAACGTACAGCTCTCCTTGCCTAACTATTGTAGCTTAATTCCATGTAATAATTTTGCTTTTTGTATCAATCACACTAATAACCTTTTTTTGCGGTAAGATACATGTAGGATTTAGACTTGTATGAATTACTAGTAATATTGTTGTGATCGTTGCAACTGGCACAACAATTAAATAGCTAACACCCTAGAATTCACTCGCTTTCACGGACAACCCACAGGTCTGAGTGTCTCATTTTTAGAACACACGTGTTAATATGGAACCAGTTCCAGTTTATTTGGTGTGTTTGCGGCATCAGGCCCTTATACCGATGCTAGCACGCGGTAACCGGATTTTTCGTCGAAAATGTAAGAACAGCTTGCCTCGTTGCTAAATAACTAAATGACGCTAACTTAATTTTTGTTATCGCTTTTACATTTGTTTCTCATTGCGGCCTTCATCGCACCAAAGACGCCGTCCTTAACGTGATGCCATGTAGGCCTGCCCGAATGGCAAGGTGGCTCCATTCAGATGTAGTTATCCCTTTATACAGTACACATACGCACAAGCATATACCACCAATCGTCGCTTGTTTCATCATCATATTCCCGTATTTAGTGAAAAATAAGAGGCTCCATTGGCCACAAAATAGCAGTCGTGGCTGTTTGGCTCAATTCAGCTTCTTCCTTTGCTTTTTCTACTGTACTATGTTATTGGTCATGTAATTGGAGGTTTGTCTTCCTACATCTGTATTTTTTTCTTCTGCCGACAACCGTTTAGTCTCGTGTATTTGATATTTGATAGCAGTTTAGATTTGTTAACGTGCTTTATCCTACAACAACGGATACAATTAGCATGAGCCGAAATAATCATCTGTTTGGTCATTTCTGAACTATTAAATGTAGTACCATTAATGGAGCAAAACTCGGACATTTCAATTAGTTCACGCATCGTCGGTCGAGATTAGCAGTCTGGATTTGTGAGACATTAACAATCAATCTCTGCATTCCATTATAAACAAACCCGTCTTATCACATACATATAGTACAGTTTTAGTTTGATTTTGTAATTCTGTGTCAGTGTATCCAGTTGTTACCTCAGATTTAATCGAATTTCCGTTTTACAGAGGGTGGTTTTCGTCTGATACTTTATGGGTACACGAACGTGTGTATAGTCATTACACTAATCTCATTTTTTCGCCGTAAGCGAATTATTTCTTCATCTTTAAATGACTAAGCAGCTTTTTACTTTTTTATGATACTAATAAGACATATGGAACTTTGCGTGTGTCTTGTGGTGATTGCAGTTGCATTTGCTTCATGGATCTGGTTTTTCTTCGAATGGACGTTGAAGACAGACCAAGTGACTCTGCGGGCAATGCGTCTGTGCATCGTCACGTTTGTTTTCAGTCTGTGGTATTCATTAACTTGCTATATTTTCGCGTCGTTTTCCTCACTCAACTCGACGCATGTTAACTACGCACAAACATTGAGCTAGAATAGGGGACGTTACGCGACTGCATGTAAGTTGGTCACGTCAGTAAGTGATTTGGTGCATCCGCAAACATATACTTAAGATTATAGGCCTCGGCGACAAGCAGTGTGATTTCGGCATCGCCCCATTTTGACGTTGGCAGATTCTGCAACAGCAGCATTAGCCCCTGAAAATCTCGTTCGCGTAGAAGCTCCTTGGAAAAATGTTTGAGAAAAGCTGCACATACGTAGAGATGGAATACCGAAAAGCCACTGTCGCCCTCGGCCAGATATGTATCCCACAGACGGACAGTACATCGGAGTGGAAGTTCGCGCATTAACAGATTATTCATCCATCGAAATGTGAACTGAAGGAACTCGATAGCATGGCCTTCAAGATGGTCGAAAAGTGGCCGATCAACCCGTTGCATGAGCATACGAAGGGTGCCCACCTTGGCCTGTATACCGGGCTGTGCAAACGTATAGTTATCCTGAATGCCGTCTAACAGCATTGACATACACCAGTATGAGTCGGCCTCGATCTGCCGGAGATCAGTGGGCGCTAAACAAGCAACATCGTACACTTCGACGTCCTCATGCGGTGGCGCTAATTCGCACAGAAATACAACAAAGAACGGTGTGACCAGATCATTCATGCCTTGCACATAGCCGGATGCCGGATGCCGTATGCTCCATATGTACAGGATGCGTTCGAATATCAGCTGAACCTGTAAAATCAATAGAAAAAAAATAGGTAAACAAAATTTTACAAAGACTGCCTGAAATCTAAATATTTGTTTTCAAAAAAACGGCCAAATCACATGATCGTTACCGAACGCATTGTTTATATTCAGCAGGAACGAAAGTCGTTCATTTCTAGAGCTTTGGCCAGTACGAAAACGCTGACTAAAATATTAAAATTGACTTCAATAGTAACATAGTGAAAACCGCTCTTTGTTACGAAAATATTGCTACTAGATATACAAAGTTGTGCAGAGATGATTGCCATACTATGGGTGATGAAAACTCATCAATACCTAAGTTCGGCACTGCTAAGATAATGTGACAACTATTAATAATACATAAATATTGTTCTTCGTACCTTAAATCCATCGACGTCAGTCGTGGCAGGCTTCATGCATGCGCATAAAAAACTAGACTCATCAAAGCTTTACACAAAGAATGGCACTCAGCTATAATCACAACCATTACAAAGAATAAACAACAACAGCAACGAATCTTTGTCTTTCGTGAAACCTATAAGCATTGCATTAAAGCTTCCTAAGATTTATCCTAAAGGCGCGTAGCAAAAAAGCGCTTCGTCTTTATGTAGAACTACGCAATTGAAAATCGTTCTAAGGCTCTGTATAGTAAACGAGGAAAAAGGATAGCTACGGCTATAACCGAAGATGGTTAATGACTTCTCAAATAATTTGAATATCCTAGTAAACAACGACCGCACAAAGACATGGTATTCGTACAAAGTTCACGGCCATCATAACAGTTTGGCAACGTGCCTCTAACTATCACCTGTGTTTAATATAACTAAATACAATTTATAATTATCAGTTTACGATGTCAGTTTCCGTACCGTAGGCTGCTGAAACAGCGGAACGAGCGGTGACATTCGCGGAATATCGATGTGAATCTGCCGATATGTTTCCTGATGCATTTGGTCTTCACACCGGTTATCATAGTACTTCTCCACAAAGCCAAAATACTCCTCGCGCTTCCGATCAAGAACGGCACGTCGGCGTTCTGTGTTCGCCGGAAGATGACCCTAGAAAATTGCATGCACCGCGTGCATAATTTTATTAATCGACCTCACTTGCTTCCCACCAACTGTGATCATAATAATTATAAAAATTGTTGTTACGCTAGCATACTGAGATACATGGGACCACACAACTGATGAAATAGTGCAGTAGTTTTCGACATAATTCATTAACACATGCATGGACACACATTCGTCTGCCGAGTAACTTCTCTGACAAGACATCAGTACCACTAAATAACACGTTAAGTACCTTTAACCAATAACCATAATCAAATGTTTAGCCAAATGATGTAAGCATTGGGACTATTTCCCACGTTTACATCGAACTTTACAATAAGTAACTTCATAAGTAAGTTACTAGTAACTAATTTTTAAGAATGACAGCAAATACTACTTAAATATCTGCATGGTTTCGAGATTCATCATTTACTACTTATCACCTTAATAACATGCTATTTCTTTTTTACAATTACATTACTAAATGTCAATAATGGTATTACTCAATTCGATTCACGGAATGCAGTGATTTTATCAAGATACTCAGTACAGACATTTCCATGACGAAAGTAACGTCTATACGTTCTGCGATAAAGTTTATAGAGGGCCCCGTAGCTGTCGCTACTACAGCCGCGCTGACGCTGAATCTACCTTCGGCAACAATAGCCACAAATTTTTAGTTAGTCTATAGTGAAATCAAACTCGAGAAACTTACAGAAAGGATTTTCCACACGAGAGGTCGCACTCTTGTTGGAATTCCTTTCCAGCTCAGTGCCCGCAACTTCTCTGTAATCATTCATCACAGCAAAAAATTTGCAAAGGATTTTCTATAATAATGATTACTAGCATTAGCATTAACAACAACTAAGGGATTTCTGGTTTAGCCCGAGCATTAACTGCGCGAACTGTAACACGCCACGTGTCAGAACAGATTTGGGCAAGAACAGTATTTGCCCAAGGTAACTTGTTAAAAAAAAATGTTTCCTAATGAAATGAAAATTGTAAATGTAACAGCTAGTGGATTTGAACTGCTACCCAGTATATCTAGAGGCACGTTAATTTTACTGAGATAAAATAATTTGGAGTGAAATGGATCAATTATTTAATAAAGTGAAGCCTTAAAAAATCGGGAAGTACATTTATAACCTTACTAAATTAGAGTACACCTAAAATTGCATAATAAGCTATGGAATTAAATAGAATTAAAACCGGCGAATATTTTTCAGCATACCCTCTGCCTAAACCGGAAAGCTGATAACGCCAAATCCTTAATTAAATATAAAATTACACACATTACAAAATGTCTGATTTTAGTATTCCAATCTATAATATACATATGTTAGGTAATCTTTAGTCATATTGTATTAGGTTGTCAAGAAAATAACAGCGGTATCAGCCGTTCTTGTTTATGCTTCCTTCCTCTGCTTTGTTCGCTTACTAATAGTCAATACGATGCACTGTGAAAAAGTATATAGTACTTGACTATCGTTCAGCGAAAAGTTAGAAAAAAAACAAGCAATCGAAAAATATTGCCAAAAATTTCTTCACACTTTGATATGATGAACAAAAGTTCGCTTTGTAAGCAGCTAGAATACGCGCCATATAATAGTAAGCATCGAGAGGCACAGCGTTCGCAGCGACTATCTTCGCGAATCTATTACTTTCGACTTTCGGCAAATAAATCCTGTGTGTGCACGTCAGGACCAATTCCCGCGAGCATATTCATCGTCGTTCTTTTTGGCATGATTAGCACAGGAGGATGACTGTTTATCGCTTGTATCGACGGAGTCCTGGCTTTTTCCTGGTAGAAATATGTGCCTAATCCCATAATTATATACAATAACATGCGATCGGGACGAATATCTATGATGATATTATCACCGCAGTAGCAACAGAATCCAAACGTAGTCATGTGTTTTTCACGCTTGTATTACTGGCAAGCATTGCAGCGTAAAATGCGTCACGTGTACGGTATCAACAAGGACATAACCACCCCAGCGCGGCCTCCATCACTTAATAAAATAAGGAAAATATAATTATGTCTAATATCAATACAACAGCGTTTGCCGCCAATGATTACCGTAGATCAGAATGGAAACAACGATTGGTAAAGCTACTGTCGTTTCAACGTATTGCGGGCGATAAAGCGGAATGACCATCGATTGTGAAAATCGGAAGGTCGATGTCCTTTTGTTTATAGGGAAGGCATGTCGCCATTGTTTTTGTTATTATTATTGCAATTGGTTCTCCAGCCAATGCACCACTATGAGACGAGCTTGAAGCGACTGTGGTAGAATATACATAACTCATATAGATATATATATATATATATTAGCCACGACTTTCAAATGAAGAAACGAAATGGGTGTTTTAAAAATGACGTGTTTTTCCACTTTCCATAAAGATACTGTAAAAGACTATGGTTACTATGCGATATATACTCCAATCTCAGATATTCATTGGTTCTAGGAACAATTGGTAAGAAACTAATATTAGATAGATGCTTCTAATATTTAGACTGGTCTATTTATGATTTATAACCGACTTTCAGTCCGACTACCTTTGAATTTGCTACAAAACTAAATATAAGTACTCCAGTTAACGAGGGATCCGCCTAGTAAAGTCAAGAAATGTTAAATCAGGTAAAATTCCTGGATTTAGATTATGAGATTACTTTCCATAAAGAATGCATCATAATAACACCAGCTTATAGTGGATAGAGATCTGGTGTCATAAAAACAAAGGAAAAAGTTTACAAGGAATACATAAAAAATACGCGAAACTACTAACCGAGATCTGGCTCGTCAGCGTCGAGGATATCCTGGAATTTGTGTTCGAGCCCTTTTCGTTGAGGAGGTTCAAAGGCCCGAACCGATGGTTTCCAGCCTTCAGCGCCGCGTCGCACCGCGATTCCAGGCCGTCTCGTTCCTGTGATCGCTGGTAAAGGAAGACTGTCCCGTTCATGCTCTAGAATGCCTCGTCCGTCAACTAAGTCCTGTCTTTCGCCATTGAAGCCTAGGTTACCCACCTGTTCCTCAAGATTCTTTACGATAAGCGAGGGCGGTTTTGTATTCGGCGGCGAAATACTCAGCACTTTAGACTCTGAAAGATTAGAACCAAATCAACGTGGAGATACCTTCTTAAAAGTTGGTACAATTAAGCGTACTGAAATTATGAAAATAAAAGAGAGCAATTGTCTTCCGTTAAGTTTTTCCAAAATTTAGTCTTCGTGGATTTCGGATTTGTTTTTGGTCTAATCACTCAAATATGCAGTGCCTTTACGCTAATAAATACGTAAGTGGAATAGACGGACTGGGCCGATAAATTCGTGTGAGCACAGTTCAGCTTGTCATTGATATTAATTTTTGCAGAACAGCATGCCTCGTAGATTAACATTGCCGTTTTCTATTCTAGGTTCAATTGCTCGTATAACCAAAAATTTTATGCGTGGATTGCTCATAATTCCACAATCAACTTTATTAAACATAGCTTTATAGGTTGAATCTGAAACACGAGAGAATGTTTAACTTCTTAATTTTTTTCCGCAAAAATAGTTGTTTTTAACTGAAGAATGAACAATTATTATTTATTATCTTCTAGCAGTTGGGCAAAGCAACGTCTGAGCAATATGGCGGACGACAAGCATAACTCCTGCATTTTTCCCCACCGTGATTCTTGCGGTGTGGCGTCAAGCGTAATCATGCAACAGAAGTGTACATTTCTGTTTCCTGATCATGGCTGCTTTATACGAAATTTCTTCATTATATCCTTCAATTTTTGACAGTACATTTCAACCGTTATCCACAAGCCAGGACTTATGAAACGGTAGTGGATCTACCTGCGTTAGGTTATCGAACAAACACTATAAGTATTTATACCTGTATATTTATTTGAAAGTGGTGTCGCCGGTTCAGTGGCACTCATCGACTGACGTAACCACCTGTGAATATCGTTGAAGATCAATTTTTCATCACGCGTCACAGTTCGGCACAGGGGTGGGTCATTATTGTAAGAGAACAAAGAAAAGCAAGCGTCTATCTGCCTCTGTTTTTGATCGTCTTTCTACCTTTATTTACGGCTAACTTGACCAAGATGAACAAGTATGGTATTTTTTACAAACATTCGATTTAATTGCTAACACCCTTTACTTTGGGACGGGTCGGCTACCACTACAGCATTCAACCTTTCCTCACTTGCTTTCGGACGGCCTTCATCGGAAGCGAGTTTTCCTGAGACTCATTTCAGGGTTAAAATTTCCGTCCCAAAATTTTTTGAACCAACGGTTAGCACTGTTTTTTAATAAAAGAAGCTACACCGATAGCAAATCTTATAAAATGCTTCGCTCTACCTTTAAGAAGGAACTATTAAGAACTAAGAAGGAAGGAAGAATACCATTCGGACTTTCAAATTTTTTTGGCTCATCCTCAAGAAGTTTGGTTACATCCCAGTGAATGGTCTCAGACGTCAAATAATGCAAATGCATTTTGAATACAGGAAGGTACCTGTAAACATCGCACTGTTATAAAATACTGTTACCTTGAAATATAAACTAATGTTTATCAGGTTTCACACAGAACGGCTTGGTATTATGCTCGGAATTAACTGGAGAGACGTCGAGGTACTTGCCTGTGTAATTCACATTCTGTCAGTGCGATCGTATTCCGGTCAATCAAAACAATACATCGATATTTTCGTTCTTTCACTACTAAAATTCATAAAAAAAATCACTATTAAAAACTTCGGCACTAATTTATGGTACATACAAAAAGGATTTGCAAAACATAAAGGTAACTCTTGTGTAAAGCCTTAAATTAAAGGATTTTCTACAATAGATTAATAGAACCTTATTACAAATACCTTTACAACCCGTATGAATCTATTCATTATCCTAAACGATTAGCGTTACGGTCAACTGTCTCGACAGAGAATTTTTCAGAGACAATGAGGGATTTTAATCTTTTTCTACTTATTGAAATTATATACTGACTGCAAGAAACTCGCAAAAGCTGCAGGCAAAAAATAGATGAAGTCACCACTTGTCACTTAAACTTAGCCTCTTTGTGACGAAGTTAGAAGTGCAGTAACCCAAAGTACCATTTAACTCTGAGATGTGATGCCAGATGCCAATTTATAACTAAATTTCGCAACATGATCAGCTCGACAAACGATACACGCGACTGTGTCAGCTACCACAAGGAAGTGATTTCGCCCAAATAAATCCTTATTGCTTATTTAATTTATCTCAAGTGATATTAAAAAGGTCTGAATGTTTTATACCATGTGTTTTTCTATGCTTCGAGTTTCACATCCGGTACCGCGATTTGATATTGCATCAGACCGACGATTGGCCCCCACCATGAAACAAAGTCAGTCTTCTTATACCCGGGTTTGAACCTAGACTACAACGTGTCTTTAAAATTAGCAAGCAAATATGCTATATATTTAGCTGTCGCATGGACAATATGCGGCGGAAACCCTCCGGCAGAACACCTCAACGATAGAAACTACAGCGGTGTAAAGTTGTTGTTCATATTCAATCCACTCTACAGCCGTCGAGGAGGCAATTTTTACGCAGTGTAGTATTTTTGAAGGGCAATAGATAATTATAGTTGAATGGGAAAATTTTCGTATCTTGGCGGTTGTTTCGTCTGCGTGTAGCATTGGCACGAAGACGAGTATGCTAACATCGCAAGGAAACAAATGCGGCGGAACGCTTCTTTGCCTCTCGTGCAGGGAACATGCATTTAATTGTGACAGGTTCTGTATGCATAGATAACCGTTCTGGTGCAGCGAGTTATTGAGAACAAATCTCAGGTAATTCAGAATTCGAATATTAAACGAAAGATCTATATTGGAAGCGCTGATGGTAACTTTAGTGTATTTACCGATGGTCAAATGTACGAATATCCGGGACTCGCTTAAATACTACCTTAGATCAGAGTAAACCAAAACAATTTCTTGGATTAAAACAAGCAAATGTTTCCAGCCAGTCGAAAGAGCTTGTGAGAACTGTCATTTTAGAATAGCTGTGACTTAGCAAACAACAGCTTACGAAGGAAGCAGCGGTTAAGATCTTCTTAAGATATTTTTGTCTTGACCTTCCACGTAAGTCATAGTCGAATATCTCTTGCGTTAAATTTGAAATAACAGACATTGTATATTATATATGAAATCAGAATAATGTAATATTTATCGATTAAAAAATAGCAAAATTCTAAGAGTACAAAAGGGATTCTCTTAACGTCTCCGGCTGCTTATCTTTGGCCAGCAGCGCTGCGCAACTAGTCCCGCAGATCGACAATCAATAGGCGCTATTGACTGTGGTTAAAAACCAAATGCATCAGAATGCTCCATCACCTGTCTGGTCACCTTCAGTAGAATGATTTACAAGGTTGATCCTTCGTGGATCTAGTAAGGTGATTGATTAAGAAACGAATGGCAGCTTATACTTCATTTTAGTTTAGCTAAGATTTCAATTTGACTTGCAATGCTGTTGCACGCTTCAAAGGTCAAACCGGACAAAACCGGCAACACAAAATATATGTTATATATGTAAAGAGCTTACAAAATAATGGACCGATAGATACACAAGCAAAAGTAGAATACTTATCTGTCTAGTGTGCGTGTCCCTTAATAAAAGTATAATCATGGTGTTCAGATCATAGCACCATAGTAGCAGAGACTATTGCAAGCTTATAATTCGCTCGCCGTCAGAGCTCGATAATATTTAACAGCAACTATTCACAACACTTATTATTTTAGAGCACATCGTTGAAACATAATAGTGATATGTTTGATTAAACTTCAACAAAGCCAAAATATCTACATAAGCACCTAATACTAATATTGCGCATTCGTACAGAGTCGCGCATCCGTAGGAAGGCAGCACGATATCCACTTAATCGGTAACAGATTTCTACCAACGAAATCCACATTGTACTTTCCCCTACATCCATCCCTGTTCAACACTTCCACGAGATGTCAATGAAGAAATTGCTGACTCACCCGATATGTGGCAAAACTCGTCGTCGCCAACATCCCAAACATCCTCTGTTGCTGCCTGGAAATTCTGGAAGGAATTGTTCGCGCTGGCCAGCGCTGGTTTCGATGGAAAGGCCCGCTCATTTAATGGAATTGTCCTGCAAAAGAAATAATAAATGCGAAAGAAATCTAAAAAAAACTATGGAAAAGACTGAAGCAAAGGCAGCATATAGCCTATCCGTGTGACCATTTCCAAATTGACACCGTCCCTACACTGAGCAGTTACGTGTTGAGCCTAATATATTGGACTTTGGGAGAATTCGTACAGGCCTAAAAAACTTTTCATCCCGTTCGACGAACATATTTCCTATGTCAGTGTCACATCTGCCACAATTCCGTTGTTTCTGATAAAAACTAAGTAATCTATCTATGACTAATCTCTTTTCTTGCTTTAAAAGTGGCACCCTTGACCTGTTGTCAACTATGTAGTCTTCGACGTAAACGACTGCGACGTATGGTTGTAGAATAGTATTAGGATACTGTTTTACCCCGAGTCGACTGGTCTAATCGTGTCTGAACGTGTATGGGCAAGAAGACGCAATCAATGAAGTCATCCGCTTTTTTGGCAACACTAACCACAAAATGTCAGCATATCTTGTCTATGGCACAATTGGAGACTGGTCTGCGTGTAGGTCTGGCCAGAAAATTCAAATGTGATTGTGTCGCAAAGGTCAATTATGCCCTTAGCTAAAGTTAATACTTTGTTCATTGTTTAACAACACATTCCCAAAAGATTTGAGTTCAGTGTTAGAACACAAGAGATTTAATTTACGTTTTTTAATTATTTACACGATTAAGTACGCATTTTGACTACAATCATATCAAACTAGTCCAACTAAGATGTTGCAAGAAGTCCTCAAAAATAAAAAGAAATAAAATCTTGCCAAAAGGCCATGAAGCAAATAGAAATGGCTCTTGTCCTCCGTTCATTGCCGCATTAATTACCTCTAACTTGTACAGCTGAAACTCACCTTTTCCATAAAAATACTTCATCTGTTAACAACTCGAGCTATTTAGGGCAACTGTTACCGATATATATATATATATATATATATCGTTCGCGTAACTTTTTGTTCGATCTGGTGACTAAAGTCTCCATATCTAATATACGTACGATATAATCGAATAAATATCCTAAAGATAATTCAGAATAACCTACGTATAGGAATGTAGCTTCGGAATAAAGAGCATGCAACGAAACTTTAAGAAGCCAAATAAAATTTCTGTACTTTCAGAGTAATTTAACTAAATTACTGCACATTGTACAATTACATATTGTAATTCAACTGGCTAATGAAATGCTTTTACCTCACTAACGTTTACATCACTTTACGCATAAGTCATCGAGACATATTGTTAATAGTCTTTCTTAACTGTCAGTTTAGTTATAAAAACCCGTGTGCTATAAAGCACTATACAGTAATATTACAATTAGCTAACTAGTTCTGTTTCTTTTCAACTACTGAACATAAATGCACATTTGCCAAATTTGTGTATTTGTAGTACGTGCGGAAGATGTTTCAGGTGTAAAGCTAAAAAAGCAACGTACCAAATCTTTTTTTGTCAAACATAACTGGATAGTGGGCTGCTACTACTACATAACTATAGAATAAAAATGTCTGTTTCAGTTTATATATATAAAGTGTAGTTCACAAAATGTCTAAAAAAAAGATTTCTAAATTGGTGCATTGGATTTTCTGAATTGATCCTATGGAGTGCTTAGCTGTGTTATTATCATTTATAAGCAGTGTGCTCATTGAACAAGGTCGGCCTAACAACGGGCTTTGGAACACACACGTATACTGTTACAAACAAAAACAAATTAGTCTTGCGGAATGCAGATTCAAACTTTTCGAACTTTGTGCTTCTAATAATATAGCACAAAACAAAAACAAACCTTAACGAGCCACATTGCACGCCACTTGCGACACTGTTTGTTGCACTGTTTCCTGATCGGCCCCTTCCTTAAAGCGTCCCGGCAGTATCAATAATTTGTTAGGTTGTATTACGAAGCACTAAATAGGTCCACCTCGAACTTATAGATATTAGTTCGTAGTCAATCTGTCCGTGTGCCCAGAATTTAAATATCGTGTAGATTAACTTACACACCAACACACATAGACACATGTACAGATATAACGCACATGCTTTAACATTTCAAGCTATCAAATTCAGAATTGCTTCTAGGCTGTCCACGGTTTATTAACATGCCAAAATTAGTAAATTTCCATCATTGTGACGCTATGACAGTAAACATTTTCTCCTAAACATTTAGACGTACTTTCCTTGAGACAGATTTATAAAACTGGTTGCTAGGATTTGATAGGAATTCTGTTCATACACGAAACAATAGCATATCAGGATCAAGTAGCTACAGCCAACAATAGAAATGTGCCCGGGAAACAGCTGTTAATACGCCATTCGGAAGTTGGCTTTGATACATAAAATGAATGTGTCATTTTTTTTATTTACAGGTGTAATGTGTTAAGTAACAATGGAATTTATCGAAACATAGGAACTTGAAAACAGAGAAAAAGGAAACGAAGATACCGTTACTACAAAGTGGAAAGAAAGAAAGTACAAAAAATATGGTTGTGAAAATATTTCTAAACCTTTAATTATTTTTTAGTCCCAGATAAAAACATGAAACGCCAAAATCGATCACATACAAATATGTGCGGCGATCGCACAGAATCAAACGATACAGACTGATGTTCTCTAAGTACACATTCATGCATCGCGAGGAACGCACAAGAAATATCACAACACTTCAGACTGTACTAACGACTATATCAAATACATAACCTTCAGCTTTACTATGAAAGCATCTACATAAGACAGCTAACAACTCGTCAGTGCTCACCCATTACATAACAATACCATGAGTAACGAAAAATGTGCACAACAAACTGTGGGCTAAAAGGATAGATGTACAATTCGCGGAATATGGGGAGAAGGGTAACATAAAGCGATGATCACTACGGAATCACAGGTTGATTACAAGTAACTGGCTAGCTGGGTTGTTTGTTTCCCGTAGCTGTCAAGACGGCGACCAGTCCCTTTTTTTATATATATTTTTTATAGAGCTTTGATGAAAGCGGGTGAGGAGAACAAAACTTATGAACAATAGACACATAGATACCACGGGGGTGAAATGCTCCAGCCATGGAGAGAATCCGACGCAACGAAAATGTCAACGGTGAAGAAAGAAGTATCATTGCAAGTGAACCGTGTGCTGTACTGATATATATATCGGGATCCTGAATGTTGGGGAGGGTAACGTATATGGTTTTTAATACTATTCGATTTTAGCGCCTCAAAAAAGGGAGGATAGGGAAAAAGTTAAGAAACTGGTTTGTAAGCGATCGAAGCTCAATGCCATCGTCGGTCTGCATCGTCTAAAGAATATCAGTAGTACTAATTACAGTAGCAATAGAAATACTTCAGCCATACGGTGGTCACCTCTTTCACTTAATTAGCGCAACTATTTTCAAAGCATCGTTAGTGGATAGTACATTAGCTACCCAAAGGTGGGCCAGTGCATCGAAAACCTGGAGCGCATTGACAGTAGATGCCACAGCAGTAGTCAATTCATACAAAAACTAACCAGTCTACTTACCTGCGCCACGACTTTTGCCACTTGTTATTGTGATGGTACAGTGGTGACTTTACCCAGCAAACGATAACGGTGATCTCTACCCCAACAAGTACAACTGTCTTTCAGAGTGCACTCTGATGCGTGGGTGTGGACCTTGCGAAGTCTCTATACACATACGTATGCACATCACTATCGTAAAAGTGACTGAGTGATTGACTAAGGCCAACAGCAACGAGAATGATGATGATAGCAACGGGCTACTGCTGCAGGCAGGGAGGCAGCAAGGTGATAAAAGCATGTAGCGGGTTCTACGATAGTAGCGACCAATAGTCGCTAGTCGATAGTATTATAAAGATAGCAATAAACGATTGCGACAACAGCACTGTGCGGCGTACACCGCGAAAAATCGAGCCGCTACTCGCAACAGATGCAGCAACGTCAAGTAAGAGGGGTTCGTCTGGTGGGCAATAAGCGTCCATCGATGCGCTGGGGAGCGGAAAACGCAAACGTAGCCTCATCGTTTAATGCAATAACGACTAACCAAGGTTGCTACTGATATTCGTTGTCGTTGCCGTTAACTGGTGGACGCGCGAACCGGCTCCAACAAACTCTTGCTTTTTCGCCGATCGCCATTGGTTTGTCGGGACTGACAGTGGTACCACCTGAGCGCAGATGGTAAGAGCAAAGGCGGTGGTGCCTCCAGCTGGCGTTGCTATTCCTGCTCCTCCGCGGCGGCGGCTTTACCACTGACGCGGCTCGTACGCTATCACTCTTCCACTGGGCCAGATTATTTCCTACTTTTGCTATAACGGCAGCAACAACGACAACATGCCATCGCAGGTACGGCTAATGCTCTTTAGTATTGTGTAGTAACACAGCGATATTACAATATATGAACTGCTACGACTGTTATGACTGTGATAGTCACAAACAACAGCCGCCGCGTACGGCGCTATGCAGGGCGGCGAGCACTACCAATGCCCCGTCACCTGGGATGCTGTGGAATCCAGCTCGATACCGCAAGTTATTGCCGTGCCTCCACTACCAACATCAACATGCTCTCATAAGACAGACGTTCGTTGTCAGCTGCTCATGATTTGGGTGGTCACACGCATGCCGCTTCGTCGCTCTCATCATGAGGGCTTTCGCTTTTGGTTCGCCCACGGAAACTGGTGTAATTGTGTCAAAATACTAGTCGTACTGCAGCAGTAGGAGAATATGGAATACAGACAAATGACTACTTTCTGGGTCGACTAGCTGGGCTAACGTTGTCTGTCGTCGGTCACTAGCTGCACAATAAGGGAGAAGGCGATAAGGAAAGGGAAAAAGGTAAATGAAGGTGAAATTAGACGGAAAGCGCGGTGCAGAGAAGAGCGAATGCGCTCATTGATGTTCCGAGTAATAATAATGGTGCATTCAGTTGTCGAAATGAATAATTGATATGATATTGCTACTGCTACTGAACGAATTGACAGGCCGTGCGGAGCATGTACAAATGTCGTCGCTAAGATTAACTTCCGTTTTTTATGTAAATGCATTGTGGTGAGTTATGTATACTCATCTGCACTTTTCGAACAATTAGTTTAATAATAACAGGAATATTTTAGTTGCAATGATATCCACAAATGATACCATTATACTGAGCCTTATGGCGGATAGTGCAAGAAATTGCTCGCCGGGCTTGGAAGCCTTGTTGCTTTAAGGAAAAAATCTTTGAAGCCTGGCCAAAACATTGGTAGCTGCCAGCAGGAGCAGAAGGCCAATATGTCGCACTATTTGAAGATGGCACTGCAAGCGATAACATATTGTTTTGCAGACGAGACTACAATCTCATACGATACTCAATGAGGATGACCTTTTATAGTCAGCTGCAGCAACATCAAGTATCAGAAAATGGGGCAGAAAGAGTGGACTTTGTCCGCTGTCATCTTTTTCTGCTGCCACTTAACAATTTTAGCACAACAAATCATTAGTTATTTTCGTGCTACGTATGAGATACCTAACAGAAAAGGCTCACAGTTTGCTAATTTAGTTAAGTTAATTACGAGCATTTTCGATATATTTGTCAGAATACAAAATATGACGTTTATATTTTCTTTGCAGTTTTTTTTCCTTGGTTCCTTTCTGTCATGCTTTTCACTAAATAACAGTTCTGATTTAGCATATGTATTAAGAACTAATTGCGCCAACGTACGTCGAAATAATAATCGCTAGCGAAGCCGAAATTCATTTGTTCAGTGTATAATAGACAAACGGATCACTGCCGCGTCTGGAAAGAATGCATCAGCAAAATACCGCAGAAAAATACTTTCGTTTTTAATCTATTTCTAACTGACAATATTTATCAAACTAGAAACAATATCAGGTCCTGTGGTAAAACTTACCTGCCAGGCACTGATCGGGTCGAATACTTCTTCCAAGTGTTACCATTACGGTTATCGTTCGTGGTCTCCATCTCAACAACGGTAAGGCATGTCCACAGGCCCTGAGCGAGACCACACAACACCCAGCTACCACCGATTAGCAGGCGAACGTCTCGACAGCGGCAGTAGGTGTAACTTAGGCGGCGTGCACTGGGCACCCCACCGTAGATAGACGAACAGAATTCGCTGACAGGCACTCAGTTACCCTAAAACTACTTCTACGCCAATAGCAGCAGCATTACGACACAACCGCGCAAACTCTGATTATAGGTACACAAGTTGGTGTTGACGCGACCGACCTCCCGCGGCCGTCCAACTGCCGACCGATCGTTTGCTCGAGCTTTCTGAGCTCTACTTCGCCACTGGTAAAGACCAGGCCGTATTTCGCCTTTTTTTTTGCTGGTTCTCCACCAGCGATAGATACATAAACGGTGGGTCTATTAAACTTCAGCTTTTCGATTCCACAACGGCGAAAGGTCTCCTTGTTCGTTTGTTTTCACCGGTCGTTCAAGGCGCCACCATTTACACCCAGGACTCCGCATAGGTATTTTTCGTAAAACGATTGATGTCATTTAGCTCTTTCCGTGGAGTAATTGCAAAATCGCACCGACCAGTTGCTACGTAAGCACATGCGTACACGCTATTTAATGCTGCTGCATCACCACATCTCTCTTTACCGATACATACGCCGCAGCTCCCGCCCCCGCCGCCGTATCGAACGACAACAATAATAAAGAGAAGAAAAATAATATGAAGAGATGGAGCGGATGTTATTCCGACCATTCAGCTTCTATTTCTAACTGCCGCCATTCTTACTGTCGCCTTTTCGCTTACTTGCTAGAACTCGACGAAGACCAACAAAACCTCGTCAACAACAACAACAAACACAATAACGGTCAAACCTCCACAATCATAGCATGAAAAATCAGCAGTTTTAAAAACAGTTGGAGGACTAGCAGTGCTTACCCTATTAACAAGCACGGCCGAACAGAAACATTTGCGTTCAGTAACACTCAGCATTATTGTATACTAGGCCAGTGGCTACTAACTACAACGAAAAAGATGTCGCGATATCAAAGTTAAACAAATCATGCGAGAGCTGGGTAGAACGATCATGATGTGGGTCGGTGTAAGGTAGAATGTATAGTAATAATAATACTGTTGCTTCGTTGGCAGTTGTCGTTCACCTGCTGTTTGGTCTCTCTCCCGCTGTGGCAGCCGCTCCCGATGCCGCTCACCTCGGCTGCTGGTGCAGTTCGCACAGATGATTGGCCGAAGTGCGGACAAAATAGGCCGTAGGCAGACACAAAAACATACACAGCTAGATAAAAATACGCACGGCCAAAAAAATCACAGACATCGCAGCTCACTCATGATGGCAGTAACTGGCACTAACTACGATCGGCAGAAGAATCACCACAACGGCAACTGGTACTCACTCAATCATTGAACTCAGTGATACACACCACACGGGACAGCAGTACGACTGCTATTGCTGCTCCTTTTGGCTTTATTACCACTAAATTAGATTATATATTCAACAGCCGAATTTCTGTGGGGTGACTCCTTCTATCGTTGTTCGTTGTTGTTGTCGTCGGTTCCAATGGGTCGCTGGGGTAGGCAATCAAAATCAGCAATATATATCCAGACAACATTTCATGTAATCGCCACAAGATACACTATTATTCACTACGCTAACGTATGTGAATGGCTTGCCTGGCTGGCCGCTTGTCTGATCAATTAGTGTTGATCTGTTTTTTTTGTTACGCCCTCTCTTTCCATCTTTCTATCTGTGTCTTGTCGCTGCGGTGCTGATAGTACACTAATATTCTGGTCGCTATTGGTGGGGGCCTGGCTGCCGCCGTAAGCGTCGTCGTGTCCTGCGAGACGACAGGTGCTCTCAGCAGCAGGAATTCCTCTCAACGCTGGCGCTGATCGTGAGATCGCAATGCAGCGCCAACCCTGTCGGCCCTACACACTGGCCGCTATTTTAGCGTGCGGAGCGCAAGCTCACCCAAGCAACGATTTGTGAAGCTAGATTGTGCCAGAAGCCTATCAATGCTTCTAACAAGCGTTTAGGTTTTAAGCGAACGCTCTTCACGTAAAAGCATTACTATTTTTAGGTAAAACTGTTATAATAATGAATATTTGGCATCTACTCAAAGGCAGTTGAAGTAGCTGCATATCTGATAGTTTTGCACGATTTTCCCGCTAAATTAGCATGCCGTCCCTTGTGCTCAGCTGTCCAGTTTGCGGTCTGTACGGATATATCAGTAAACAAATAGTGCAAATGAGATGGAAGGATGGCTACGGGATAGTTTATCCGTCGAATTCGTCTCTTCAAGTTTCATGCTGAGCTGGCAATGTGAGAGACAGCAATGAAAACGTGAGAACGCCCTATGTAGAACCAATCGTTCAGGAAAACGTAAAGTTTGGTGAAGTAGTTGACGCTAGTAGAGACGTCCGATTGTCTGAACTACGTATATATAATACTATATAAACCGAGCTTTATCATATATTTGATTATATGATAAAGCTAGAGTATAAACACGACTGACTTTCAATTACACTTAATTGAGACTAATATTTCCTACTCTATTATAGAGTATTTTTTTATATTATTATTTTTATTATAAAAACATTAGAAATCTCTTTTATCTCTTTTGTCGGTTACAGCCTTGAATGCGCTTAGCGAAAGGCACGTTTACACGGCCGTCTAGGCGTGTAATGAATGTTGCAGAACAGCTTGCCGATATTAGCCTACTGAGAAATGAATCGAGTACGGTCAACACTATTCGAGCGTGTATCGTGTAATGATTAACACAATACGTCAAATTGGTTCGGAAAATTCAAACCAAATAAAATCGACTCATTTAAATACCTAGACTAATATAAGTGTTTCCATTTGCACGCAGTAACGTCAGGAGCGAAAAATTCTTGTTTCCTTGTGTTTTTAATAAAAAAAGTTTTGATTGATTTTCAGGCGTTGCTGAAATATGTCGTAGATGTTAGTTAAACGCCGTTAAACACAGATGCCCCCAGGAGTGGCCCCCTGCGCGTAATCCATGTAGTCCTACAGAAAAATCCCTAGTTCTTGCCAAACGGACGTACTTACAATCAAGCCTTTTATCAAGATGAGCACACTGCAAATGGTATTGTCACTTTGGTTTTTGTGTGCGCTGTTTATTCTAATGCTGGCGCTCCGGCTGGATGATCGCACACAGTGGAGCTCTTTCGGCGTATTTACGCCAATGTGGATGTTGGACGCCAAACTACTCGCCATATCGGGGTACAAGGTAGCGGAAACCAGGCGGAAGAGTTTACTTTTTAGATTTGAGTACTTGTGATGTTACCGCTGACCACTAGTGATGCACTAATTTATTAAAGTGTCTTTTAAATCATTGAAGGATCTTGCGCATCACGAACTTTCGTTTGTGTAGGCCTCAATCATGTCCTGCTCTTTGATATTGACGAAATAGGGTTGATACTACGATTTACTTTTGCTAAAGATATTAATTAAATTAATGCAATTCAAGTTGAAAAAACCCTAACAAGCCAAAATTATTAAATATATGCCAAGTTTAACTTAAACCGATAGTCTAAATTGAATCAACGTTGTCACAAACAAATATCTTTGTATTTAATGCAAAAATCACAAGAATAATTTTGTCTACCAATGCATTTTCTTGCAGTATTTTTTTAAATACCATGAGTCATAACACCATGCTTTTTTGTGAATGAATTCAGGTATACAGCCGCCTGGGTCGACAGCATTTCGATCCAACATGTCTACGCAAGCTGCTGTTTTTCCTCGGCGTAGTAGTAAAAGCGTCGTTTCAGGCGTTACTCTGTCTGCGCCTCGAGTATCTTCCTCACTTGCCGTGGTCCGTAGTTTTCATCCCCTTTTGGGCTGCCCTAATTTTTTTTCAAGCCAATGTCATTGTTAGAGTTTATTACTTCCTCGACCTTGCACAATAATGTTGAAGATGTCGGGTTACGAAAAACCAAAATCGATTCAAAATAGCTCCATTCTCCACAAAAGGTTTTACGGGAATAGCAGATTAAAGTGCTAGTTAATTATTGTCAAAAAAATTCAGTGTATACCTGCGAACAAGTAAATTTATGACATGTATCGTTTAAGTTACGGCTGGAATCGTAAATAATTTATGTAATATTTAATCATTTAGCTTAAATGTCAACTTCCCAATGCAAATTTCAGGCTATACTGCAAAGTTCACAAACAAGTTTTATATGTGTATACGCATTAACGGGATCCAAGTTCACACGATCCAAATGTATACAGCTGTAAATATTTCGAAAAGTACAGAGAAATAGATATCGATAAATAGATAAGATTGATTGAGGTATAAATTGAAAAATAATTAGAGAAACACAGTAAAGTAAACAATAAAAAAGCAGTAAACGTATTAGAAAAGAATACACTATAGATGCTTCTGTGTCTATACTTTAGATAATTAAATATTTTATTTACATGTAATAACTTGTTAATTATTAGCGCTATCGGTACGAGAGTTATTATTTTCGCTCCGTTTTTCTCTTGTCGCGGAAAAATTTCGAGTCGTTCTTTATTTGCATTACGACGGACTTAAACATTAGCGGTTTCAATTAAATTTCATTCTATAACACTGACGTCAATGTTTTTCAAGTGTTTTTCAATTATTAGATAATACAATTCTGCGTCATTTTTCGTTTCTCATCAGATCCTTTGTTTCCACAGAGTGATCCTTTTATAGATTTTCTCCTTTCTTTTTGTCATATTCCTTTGTTCCATATTTGTATTTCTTGGTACCGCATTTGCTTTCGTTAAACTTCATTCTCTCCTTCATTCTGCCTTCGCTTATACAGATTCACCCGTATGTCATTATTCTTGCTGTCACTGTCCTTATCATTGTCTACTGTAATAATAATTCATTGTAAGAATATTACAGAAAAGATTACACAGTTCTGCTCCACAGAAACATTGTTAATCT